CACCACAATCATCAGATAAGACAGGAAACGGCAGAACAACCAGAGGGGGAACAAGGATGTCCTGACAGAGTCCAGCCCAGAGAGAATTCTGGACATTAATGATCCAGATTACTGATTCTTTTGCTGACTTGCCGCAGACTGACAGTGATGCTATCAAATTAGGAACAGCAATTTGAAATATTATATCCACATGCAATATGCATATTAATAAATATGGTCAAATGTGCCACAAAATACCATTATAAATGAAGCACTGTGGTGCTACAGAGATGCCCCGGCCTACAAATCATATTGGACATAAGGGAACATCCTTGTTTAGTACAGACCCCAGGGGACCCCTCATATTTAACCAGGTAAAACCTGTTGAAATCAGTGATCTCTTTACAAGGGTGACCTGGCCAAGCCAGCAATATGGTTTTTTTTGCATATCGTCCAGCCTAATGCTAAAATGTATTTTCACATTTGATTTGTGATTTATAAAACATAAATGACAGAATATTTTAATTATAACAGATTATATGGTTACTATGTATCTGAACAGCAAATTCCTATTAACAGCAACTATTCCAGTTACTACATGTCTGTATGGATTTATTCTAATCTAAAATCACCTAGTCCTGACCATGACCAAACACATTAAAACACTTCTTCACAATCAATTCTCCATTCTCTCTGTATTTCCACCATAAGTTGCTAAATATAAAAGCACTAGCGTACATTTCCTGTCTGGTTTACCTAGCAAGGGAAAACTTTGCAAGATCACTGATGTTTCTGCAGCTGCAATCAGTTAGCACAGACTGATCTAAATGCATTTTTTTTTAACGCAAGGGTATGCACAATGTATATGAAGCCGGAGGATTAAAGTGCTAGCCTTGCGTACAGCCTCTTTGTTCGTGGTGGGGTGGAATGGCCTCCGGCCAGAATTTAAAGCCATGTGACACAAAAATTCTTCTTTCGAGCCAACACATCTCAAATTCTTACAGGCAGCTCTTCTGGTCTGTTCAATAACGGGAATAACAGGGAGGGACTCGTGTGTGCACTATGAGATAGCCTAGTTAGGCAAAACCACAATAATTAGCGTGTGTGTGTGTGTGTAAGTGTGTTTGTGTGCGTGCGTCTCCACTGCGAGTAGTGTGTGAGGCATGCTGCCAATGAAAGCCTTGCAGGGTGGAGCACACATCAGCTGCAGCTAAACAGCTGGCCACTGCAAGCTAACATTGGGTCTGGATTGAGAAAAGGTCTGGCTGCCTCCCCCATGTCTGCCTACTGTGGGCTGGCATGGCTGCCCCTTTTCATTCAGCAGCCCGCCAATCTGTTCCCAAAACAGGGGAGGAGATCAGGACAAAAGAAAAAGCAGGAAACATAGGAAGACAGGATATCTATGAGAAAGGATAGGTGTTGTGTCCACAGAAACATAAATTCCTGTTCCTCCTCATAGTGCTCAAAACATTTAACCCAACAAATAAAGATTAGGTTTATACTGAGTTTGTAATAAGTTCTAAAAGACATCTACTTCATAGCTTGAGCTGAAAAATGTTGAAACATGAGAACTGGGTAAAGGTGAAACTGAAAGAATCATACATAGGGCTGTCGTGGTGAATCGTACATAATTTTAGTTCCTGGCAGAAAATTGCTTCACCTATGGAGAAAGTCGTACTCTTTGAGGAATCACGCTCAACCTTTATGTTAAGTCTATAAAGCCTCCTTTGATATTTACAGAAATCACCAACACAGAAACTTTGGAATCTGTTTCATTTAAACACCTGACGATATTACAAATAAGGGCGATGTTGATATAAGCTGGCCAGGTTGTAAGACAAATACAATCAGAGATTGTCCACCAGTTTCTGGAGCACAGTAACTGCTGTGGTTATATGTGAGCAGTCAGGATACAGCGTACTTTCCCGTGTTCACTTCCCCTGTGGCTGCAGGTCATGTCTCTATTTCAGCTGAAATGAGGTCACCAAACAAGAAGAAAAGCAAACCCAGTACAAATGTTTGTCTTCTTCTCTGGCTCCCACACATTCTCAGGAAGAAAAGGGAACATGGCCGCATCTTTGTCACGCCTGTGCCTCTGTAGCAAAAAAAGGGTACACGGGTCCAATGGGCCGCTGCAGAGGCAGCCTCTGAGAGGCTAACAAAGGCAGATCACTCACAGGTTAAAGAGGTCTTAGGTTTCATGGGGCCCATCTTGAATCATTTTTCTAGATCCAGGTTCAAACAGTTTTTTGAGCAGGTTATCTAACGTTATCTGTCTGACCTAATCTGTTTCTTTTAGCTTACAATCAGTCATGTGCACGCTCTGGCTCTGTTGGTATGTATAAATAGATAGCCTTAATGGCATTAAAACGCCTCTTCTGCTAACATTTAGCTAGTAATTGTCCAAATACTGCAAATGTGTTGCATGTTTGACAGGTGTGCTTTTTCCTTTGGCCCTCTGGCTGGGTGTTCTTCCAAGAAAGAGAAAACATGGGAGTTAAGACACTTCAAAAACTTCAGAGAAGATGACGAGACTTTATCTCAATTACAGGGCTGCAACCAACGATGTGGATTGTTTTCTCAATTAAAAATCGATCAATTGTTGGGCTATAAATTGTCAGAAAATGGTGAAAAATGGCAATCAGTCCCCAAGCCCACATTGGTTGTTAACTTGCTACTCCACAGAGAATACAGAGGGGTGTGTAACAAAGAGCTACATAAATGTGACCTATCACAGATGCCCTTGACTCTCCAGTTGAGTTCTTCCATCTTGCTGACGTTTCATTTGGACAAATATTGTTGCCAAAAAGTATATCCCAAATTCTCCATGGTCATAAAAAAATGAAAGCCAGCCAAAATACCTGAGCTTCAGAGTTTCGCACTTGTTGCTGTTACCAGTAATCCAGAAGTAATGTTTTCTTTTGTCATGTTTCTGGACATTTTTTCCCCAAATGGTGACACTTCCAATACTGCTATTAAAATCACATCTAGATTGAAGAGAAGTGTTTATACAGCCTATGGCTGTCTTGTTTCTTCTTTCGATCAGAATAAACTACTGTACAGTCAGTTACTTGGTAAAAGAAATGTATGAATGAATTAATTAATGACATGCCTCACGTATTTGCAGTGTGAAATCTTCTATAGTACAATACAAAACCGTTTCGGGGGAAGACAACATCTGATATTACAACTCCCTTAGGGTTTTTCCTACCACGGCTACCTGATTAGGACAACCAATTAATTGTGTTTATCCAACTTCAGCTTCATTGACTTCTTGGGAAAACTCAATTAAATTAGTTTATATTAATCATAGAAGCTGGGGCATTCTCAGACAAATCTCTCTGGGGTGGAACACAATAACAAGCAACAACATGAGACCTCGACGGGACTATGACAGCTTGAATACATCTGCATGTTGTGTGTTGTGTCTGGCTGAGCCCAGTCTGAGAGTTTCTTGTGTCAACACAAGGAAATGTCAGGATGAAGTCACCACTTGGCACCCAAGCACAGGGCACCTCTCCTTAACGGCCAGGGCACACCGGCATTGTTGCAAGGCCAGCTAGATTGCAGCAGACTTGGCTGTGTATGTTGTGGGGGGGGGGGGGGTTGACACTCTAGGGAAACAACACATGTGTAATGAATAACACAGTTGGGTAATGCTTTTAGACGGGCAGAAAAGTACCTCTTTATTCCTTTGCAGACACAAAAAAAATCACCAAATCCAGCCACTTCCAGTATTTTACCAGCCAGCATAGCTCCATTTTTAGCACAGAATAGGTTTTCCAGATGGTGGCTGGTGGAGTAAACCAACTTTGCAGCCACAGCCAGAATTGACCACCATTAAACTGACTTAACTGCCATCCTGTGTGTCTTTGACACTGCCTAACATAGTAGTTTAAACTGTTAAGAAATAAAGGAAGAAAGAAAAAAATATACCAAACAACTTTTTTTTTTATACTTTTGTTTCTTATTGCCTGCTATATTATTCATTTGTCTCGATCCAGGGAAATGATTTGTTCCTGCGCTGCCTCAAACTGCTGCAGCTCATCTTTCAGGGCTTTAAAAAGACAAGCAGGCCAGGCAGGCATGCTCCGGCAGCTAGCTGGGCCTCTGCGCCAGATAAAAAAGGTGAGTTGTTCACATTCCTGCTTCATGCACAAACCAAACCCCCGAAGTCACACACACACACACACACACCTTCTGCACAAATGATTGAGTTGTTTGTGTGTGTGTGGTCCCTGTGCCTCCTGTGCGTTGTTTTTTCTTTTGCTTTAACCAGGGGAGTGGGAAAGTTACAAAACTGAAGATTTGTCACCAAAAACTCCTTTCCTGATTATAAACTAACCAAATCCTGTGTATAACATTTAGGGTATTGCAATAGTGATTGCTATGCTGCAATGGCAATAAAAGACCACTCTTTACAACAGCAACATCTTTCTGATAAGAGACAGCTATGTTAATTTAAGTTATCAACGGGCTTTCACCTACACACCCATAAAAAGGAAAACAAACGGACATGTAAAGCAGTTGTGAAAACTAAACTGAACCAAAAGAGGGTTGGTGCAATGACAGAAAGGCATCTACCTTATGCAAGAGTGTGTTTTCATGGGAATAAATAGTGGCCCGGAGGATAGGACATCTTTATGAGATCTTTCCTGGATTCATATCAAAACTCTGAGTGGGCCTGGTTAAGATCTTTCTCACTATAGTTAATGTGCTTCTGTGTATTTGGTTAGTCCTTGTCATCAACTTAACTTTTTATTTTTTAACATCATATCTGTTTTTGTCAAACATTTAATTAAACAAAAAAGTGAAAAAAGTGGCCTTGGTATCAGCTTTAGGGAGGTGAGAGGAGAGCAGGCCAACTGAGCCCCACTACTACTATAAAAGGAATATGATGGGGAAGGGAGGGCCACTGCACCACCAACAGTATTAGCCTATCATCTTACCAAAAATACAGGGACACTGGATGCAAGGGCCAAACAAGAGGAAATTAAAAGAAATAAAATAAGCTTTCTTACCCCAGTCCAAGAACTCCAGGATATTTTTCTCTCTTCTGAGCGGGGAGTTGTTGCATTCATCGTACAGGCAGACCAGGATGTCCAGCAGCGTTTCCACGCTCAGACACTGGCCATTAGACTGAGCTGGCCCGTCCAGGATCAGCTTCTCCAGCTTCTTCAAACGCACCTCTCCCGACATGATTATTCCGGCTTGTTGGTTTTAGAAGTAATGATGATGAAGGAGAAGGAGGTGGGGGGCAGGCGAAATGAGCAAACACCTCCTCGGCCTGTTAGTTAGCGCAGAGGGGCCTGTAAAGAAGTTCTGTCACCTTGAATATGTCTAGAAAAATAACCAAACTTTTGAGTCGAGGGCTAGCCGGGGCTAATTCCGCGTTAAAGGCGACCTATTCATGACCCCCTCTCGGGATCCAGTATCTAAGAGGTGAATAAGACGTGTAGCGCATCCCCATTTTATAACACCTATCCCCACAGGGCACATACGAAAAGAAGTAACGCTAGTCACAATTACAGACCCTGGCTGCCCCGGGCCGGCTGATTTTGATGAATTCCCAACGTTAGCTGGCAGTTTTCTGCTCTTCTCTGTGTGGTAAATGGAGGCTAATCGAGTGGATGCGGTTCAACAGATCCCCCTGAGTTGTTGTGGCATATGTTTGGGATTCTCCATTCTTGCAGCAACCCAAAAAAGCAAGGCAGATCTGCAATGCTACAAAGCCCCAGCGCCCCTCCTCTGCTCCAGGAATGGAAGGGCGACACAGGCTTAGTTAGCAGCCTGCTAGGTTAGCGGTTTAGCTAGCCAGCGTTAGCTAACGTTAACGTTACTTTTCCTCGTCCCTCAATGCCATCGTTGCCCCTTTTCCCACAGGAGTTGACATACAATACGCAAAGTGTCAACACCGCTCAAATGAATTTGATCCCTTTCGACAGTGTGGTTATTTTTCATCCAACTGGAAAATATTCCCTTGTTTTCACAACTCAGTGTTGGCAGATATGTTCTTTAAATCCCATTCTTCGTCCAGAAACCAAATGTCTTTAGTTTCTTCACAGTTCAAAACGTCGGTTAGTTCAAGAGTTCCAACAGCGCTAAGTTGGCCGTCAAAAATACGGGTCCTTTTTTTTTGAAGGTTACAGAGGAGCTCGTTTCACGTCAAGAGGAAAGCTGTGGTCTGTCTTGCTTATTCCAAATACGGGACACAGCCTAAACTCCCCCCTGTCCTTTCCTTTGCCTTGCCTGCCTCCCCCGCCGGTCGGTCGCTTCTTGCAGTCTTTGCACAGTCAAGCTACCAGTAGCCTGCTGCCAGAGACTTTGACAGGAAAGACGCCCGAGTAGACACCTCTATCTGTAACGCCGCGCTGGATTATGGGAAGCAGGGCTCGGCTGTAAAATATGAATGATTTACAAATGGACGCTTAGCCCGCGACGCTGCTAGTCCACATTGAAAACACAACTTATAAACGCTCATAGATTACTTTACCTCTTTGTTACTCAATGAAGAATATCTTCGCTGCGACGCGGTACGTTTCGAGACAGTTATGTGCTTCATATAACTGTTATACGAAAAATAATGTCGCTGGTGTCCAACTTTCACGCATGCGTAGGGCGCTGAATCCTGAAATCGGCCATCTTTGATGTGCCATGGCGTGAAGGCGTCCATTCCGTTACAGCTAGCAGCCCATCTTCCAGCAGTGTAGCATTTCTGGCTGCCGCTGCAGGCAAAATCCCAGATCATCATCATGGCGCCCGTCACAGCATCTGCTGTGCGGAAGGGGGGGGGGTGGTGTGGCTGTCAATATTGTGAATGGAAACTGCGGGTTGTCTGTCAGTCTGCCGGTGACGTGGTGGGGAGAGGACGCATTTTCTTCAGACTGGAATAATAACGTCCGCTGTCCCTTTAACTGGCTGCTCCACACTCCGTTTATGGAGATATACCCACGCAATGGTGTTGTCTGCGCCAATATAACCTGTGCTGAGAGTGACCTGATAGCTGCTGCAGTGGGCCACAATCACACAACCTTCAGATAAAACATGGCAGCCTGTGTGTGCGCTCCACTAATGCAACTGCCTAAACCTGCCAAATTCTGACATTATATGGGAGTTTATGGCACCCTAGCTACAACTGGCATATGAAAGTTGTGTATTTATCTCAGAATACTACTGCATGCCTACATGCACCTCATAGATGGCATCAGAAATGGCTACTATGTGTGGTCTCAATAGGCCATTGACTGTAGCCCCAAAACGGCGTTTACTTTTGAAAGTACTGTATTAATGTAATATTGAGATTCTTAAATTCTGACTGCTTTTCCCATCTCTCAACGTCAAAGCTGCATCAAGTTTGTCCCGGATTTTCTGTCTCTTGGACTGTTCTCACGGGCGGGAGAAGCTCAGTGCTGAGAGCATACTCTCTAAGATAAACAGGCTTGTAGGTTAGAGTTTGACTTAATGATGACACTGAGCCCTGCTGTATCCCTGCAAGCCAACTGAGTCAGACTTTTCATAAGCACAGATCCCTAAGTGAGAATTAAGGACATACAATAGGTAAATCACACAGACTGCTGGTTGTCACTTATTTGCACTCATTTGTTGTTTCTAACCTGCTGGAGTGGCCATCATACTCACATTGCTAGCTAATAATATATTGTATGAAAATAATAATACCCATGCCTTAAATGTCATCACAGAAATCATGAAAGTATTGAGTAAAAGTGATATTTTACAGTGTGATCCAGTTCTATTAGCCACCCACTGGACAAAGCACCTGAAGGCCATTTATTCACAGAGTTCCTCCGAACTATTACCTCCTGTTGGAAAATGTCCCATCCTTTTGAAGTGAGGTGGTTATCGCTGCTCAAAGTACATCTATTAATGATTAACAGCCTCCATAGCAACTGAATCTTAGTGGGTAGGGAGAAAGACACAGAAGCCTTGTGTTATTATGTCTGTGTGACACACACCAACAAAATTACGCTTCTATATTGCAAATGGATTTCTTGCTGCAAGCCTTTGCACTGCCAGAGTGAATAAACGCACAAAGACGCACTGTGATGAACTGAGCACACACACACACACCAGCTCAACATGCAAGATGTGTCCAATAAAACAGATTTTGATGGTGACCAAGTGTAATTTGAAGCATACTGCCTTGGCATGACTGTTTATCAGAAACAGCCAAGCAGCAGTTTATATTTCCTGCAATGTGTTACCACTCCGAGATGACTGATTGGCTTGGTTTAGGAATGTATTCTGTTAACAACAGCAAAAGTATATAACAGCATAACAACAAAACTGCAGAAGAGAATACGTCTTTGCTCTCTCCCTTTCTTTCACAACATTTATGACTCTCTCCCATGTGTGTGGCACTGCAGGTCCAGGTCACCTTATTAAAATCCACTCAAAAATGGAATTCACAAGATAAATATTATATTGTGTTTTAGTTCAGTTTACATGTATGATGTCGACTTGTTTGTGTTATACGTCTAATTTGGATATATTTGCAATACACTTGATACATTTGATGTATTGTTTTCTCTGTACCACCCCTCTCTGGGATTCATGTGCTTTTTTTGATTCAGGTTTTTATTGAGCACTCGAGTTGTGAGTTGCTTGGAGATGTTTATCACCGTGGGTGGGTTAAATAGGTAACCACACTTCACATTGTCATAGAGTCTATCGTCAGCCTATTGATTCATATGGGTGTGGGGATCAACATTTAGACCTGACAAAGAGCCGCCTGGGATCAAAACATTGTGCATGTCATCTGTGGTTCCGAGTCTTTTTATTGAATATGAATAAAGTGCAGCAAAGCACTGTTGAGGATGTCATGACAGTAAATAAAGGAGCACATTAAAAACAGCAATGGAGATTTTTACTGAGATAGAATAGCCTATCTTGACTGAAAGCAGGAAGCCATAAATTTAAAAAAACAAAACAACTTCTCAGATTTTAATATAAAAAGCATTTATTTCACTTTCAATGCAGATGGTCTTTTAAAGTAAGATGAAGAAGTGCGTTAGGACAACATTAAAAAACACAATAAAAAGCAAACTCAAATAAGTTAAAATTAAATAGTAGTTAGTGGAGTTATGGTGTAGTAATAAGTTTCCCTAAATTCCATAAAGAAAATAAAAGTGCAGTATAGAAATGAAGCCAATAGCCAGAAAGTGTGGGGTGGTGATAGGGGTTTCCTGCTTGTGAAGACATGTTTCTGTTTTATAAAACTAGGACTTTACTGTCCCACATAAGGCAATGTAAACACTGTTTTAGGTGGGTGTTTCCCATAGACTGTATAAGTGTTTCCTTTAAAGCCACTAGCTGCTTCTCGTGTGATCACAGCGCCCTCTGCTGTACAAATAGCTTCACCAACTATTAACTAACTCAAACTGGTGTATTTTGTGCAGGTCATTGCAGCTGTCTTGTATTTGTTGTGAATGGGTATTTCTTGTGTGTTCTTGTTAGTTTTTAATCAGCCTTCTTTATTATTTACACAGTTTTTTTGTTCAGTGAATTTGCGATGAAAACGGCATCCTTTTTTTATTTTTATTTTATCGGTCTGATCAGGGTGATGATAAGCATGCTGCACACTTAAAGTCTCCCCTATGTCGATTAATTAAAATATTTATTGTTAGTCCTATCTAATCACGTCTGATCCTATTTGGTTAAGTCTACACTGGGATTAAACCCTATGTCTCTGCGCTGATTGAGCCGTCATTAGCTGTGTGAAATGCAATTAGACTCCCCTGTACTTTGTCTAGAAGTAGAGGCCATTGAGCAATAATTGTATTGTCCTTGCACAGGTCTAGCACTTTCCCCTCTGACAGACGGATCAGTGATTATTGGCAGCCAGCTCGATGGATTGATCCAGACTCGGAGTGTATCTTTTGAGGTCTGCAGCCGCAGCAAAGGCTTTGTGGGGGCCATTAAGGTGCAAACTAGAGCGGTTCATGTCCTCAAATATTTGGTATTGAGATAAAGCTGGCAATAGTAGATCAGGAAGTCGGTGACAATACAGCCACGTGAATAATGAGGATTTTGCGCTGACCACCAGCACAAGTTCAATATTGACTTTTTGGAGAAGGCAGCAGCTCCGCCCTGTTCCCCGGGAGACTCCCAATGAGATGCTGATATGCAATGTGTCTTACCTCAACCACAGGGAAAAAAACCAAACTGCAGCCAGGTCTTCCTCCTGAGGGCTCAATATTTCTCTCATATCAGCATTTAAACCATGGCCTTATGCAAACAGCAGTTTTTGCAAGTAAAGGGGATTTCATGTTTCAGAAATGGAAGGGGGCGACCTATAAACTGGACTGCTTTTGAATGCAAATGTCTGGATGTTAATTAACACCTGTGTTGTTGATTGTGGGAGCTTATTGGCCTTTGATTGAAAAGAAATGGCACCTAGGAGCATCAGATGTAGCTTTGAACTAGGCAACTTGTCTTTGATTGGCATGGGAAGGAAGAAAGACTGAGAAATATCACACAAAGGGCATCTTAATTTCCCAAATTAGGGGTTGTAATGTGAGGGATAGAGGTTGCCATGGGCTCTGGACAACAGGCACTTAGACCTGGCCTTTGGCTGGACGGGTCAATGAATGTGCTCTGAATTTACATGTCTGCACTGATGATTCTGACATCAGGTAATCTGATAGACCAGTTTGAACCTCACCTGTGGACTTTGTAGACTCTGCTGTGGAGCTTACTGTTCATATTCAGGGTTCTACTCCTATGTAAACCAATTTTTTGGAAATAAATGTTTCATTTGCCAGTACTTGAAAAACACTGATTCAGTCTTCAAAACAATGTGGCCAACTGTGTCATTACTTACTGATGGATGTGTGCTGAATGTCTATGTGAATTTTATAAAATATGTGGCTTTATTCTTCCATTAGGGTCCCTTTCTAACATCTGCACAGCCTTTTAGGCTCATTTACAGTATTTTCTCTGTTGATCAATGCTTAATTAATGAGCACCTCCCCCATCAAATAAGCTAATAAAATAAATAAATAAAGTCTCATGATTAAAGTTGACATTTTCCAGGGCTAATTTTGTACAAACAGAATTAACATTTTCAGCAAATATCCCAAATTGAAGGAAGAATGAAAGACTAATATGAGATCAGTGGTTACACTACATGTGCACTATTGCAAATTGCACATTTCATTCATTCAAGTCATACAAAAACTTGCAAGAAAAGAAAATCCTGCTATGAATTTGCAATAACATTGCTAATAGCAAATTAATTAGGCTAAAACACAAATATCATAGCATTAATATCATAACAATTTAGCTATTATAACTCTGTAATAATGTTATTACTCCATGCACACATAATTGAGTTTGCACACATGTAATTGGATATTATACAAATCTTTATTTCAGTACCTGTCATGCATGGACTGTGTCATGTGGTATCAGCTCTAAAGCACTAATTAATAATTTGTCCTGTTTATAAGCTGCAGGCAGCAGTGAGCGGGTCTGGTGGTCATCTGTCATTTGCTCTTCCTGTGTGCCCCTTCAGTCTGTCTGACATCTCTAAGCAAACACCGCCCCAATACACAACCACCACTGGCAGGGCCTTCTGGGCAGCCAGTCAGAGCTCCCCTCTTCTAATGTTTGTGTGACAAAAAAGGCAAGGCAAATCCTCGCAATGGAATCAGATAATCACCAACCTGTGAAGAGCCTGCCCCAATCCACATCCACGCCAACCCCCCCCCTCCAGCCCCCGGATTAACTGTCTGTTTGGCTAATAATTTTAATCTGCTGGAGAGGGCCAAGAATGGGTAACAGGGCTCGGAATAAACATCTAATCCTCTAGTCCCCCTCCTCCCTCGAAAGTGCTACACTATTTCCTACCCGACCCCTTGTTGTACACTTGCACCAAAGTGACCAGGCAGGATTGCCTGCTGGTTTTTAGTCCAGATCTTCTTGTTTTTTAGCCACCCAGACAGTCATAAGCCCGCTGTTTGACAGACTGTTGCCAGACTGCCCTGGCCTGACATCGTCCAGTGGAATGTACACGTCGGAGTGTGGGGTGTGTGTAGACAAGGGTGCTACAGAAGAGAGGGCACTTCAGGTTCGCAGGGTCAAGAGATGTCTGTCTGGGACGCATGTGTAGCAGCAGAGAACACGCTTCAGAGTGGACCAGGGAGACAAGCTCTTTAATTCTGGAGAAATAATAAGAGTGTCGAGACACAAAGAGAAGTTGGCAATATGTTCAACTATGTGAAATAAACACCAGCTGTGAAAACACTAGGCCTATTCAGATGCTTTTTAATTTTGGGGAAATAGCAGCAAGTCCCACAAAACTATAAAATGTTTCTACACCCAGTGGTAATGACTGGATTTCTGAATGTGATACTAATACTTGAAGTCAATTATTTTTTGTGTTGACCATCAATATTTAAAATTTGACAAATTCACTGCTAAAAAAATCCATTTCAGTTCTTCATCTATGTACTCTAGAATGTTCTTCTTTCTAGGGTAGAAAAGCCCCTGAAAGAGCATTTACCTATTTCAATTTGTAATTTGATTGTCTGATTGTCCACCAGGAAGATGCATCTAAATTACTGTATTTATTTACACCATGAAGAGAAGATTGTAGATCCTCATTCTGGCATCAAATGCAACACAGGCCATCTACAATAGTTTTAGTGGAACTATGGTGAAATTGTACCTCCACAATGTGGATGGCACTCTGGTCTAATTGTTGCTGTTTGAAGTATGGCCACTTAGATATCCTGTTTAGAATGCGGCTGTATTGTCGCACCTTTGTTCTGATAAGGGTCCCTGCCCCCATTGACGAAGTGCGAACGACTGGGAGGGCCGCAACAATATAAGGGGCTAGAGGAGTGTCAGAGGGACACTGTCTTTCTCTGGGTGACTTTTGCTACCGTGCTGCTGTTTATCACACTGAATTTTTTACACATGGATTTCCTCCGCGCTTGTGTCCTTTGCACCGCTCTCTTCGGTCTCGCCAAGCCTTTTACGCACCAGGATATGAAGGACGCGCTGCTGCAGAAACTTGGTTTGGATGAAGTTCCTAAAATCCATAAGAGGGATTTGGAGAATCTGGTTATTCCGGTGCATATCAGAAATAAGTACTTGTCCATGCTGAAGATGCACCACAGCAGGAGACGCAGATCTCTGCCAAGCCTGGCGGGCATCCTGAGGGGAATCCCTGGTAATGCAGGTAAGGACCTTTAAAATTTTTTAACCATATCACATGCAATTTGTAGGAATTCATATAAAAATAGCTTTGACACTGATATCAGTTGACGGGACAATTAAATCCGTGCGTAATTGCACCACTTGTATAGTCTATTTTACGCACCAAATTGCCTCAGTTAAACAGTAATTTTAAGCTACATGGCCTAAAACGATTTAAATGCTTTGTGTTTTAGACATTTCCGGGGAGTATGTGTATTCTGACACCACTCGGCATCGCATGGTGTTCGATATGGAAGCGAGGATCCCGGATAACAGCGAGGTGACCATGGCGGAGCTGAAGCTCTACCAGCGGGCTTCCTATAACAAACGGTTCGCTGTGGAGAGGAAGAACCTCCGGCCAGTCAACAACGCCCGGGTCAGCATCTACTGGGTGGAGGTGTTGCCAAACGGACCCAATAGGACATCTTTGGTAGATTCACGGTAAGGGATCATTTTCTCATGGCGACAAGTTGGGGATGTATTAACAGTAGAGCAATTAAGAGGCGACATCATCACGGGCTCACTGGGTTAACAGTAATTTAATTGTAATCTTCTCCAGGAAATATTCTTTTTTTTTTAAATCTCGTTTTAATTAAGCGCCCTTATCTCTCGTGCTCACAGGTTGATCCCCATTCACGAGACAGGCTGGAAGAGCTTTGATGTGACCCAGGCGGTGCACTATTGGTCCAAGACGCAGCAGAAGACACCTATGCACCTGGAGGTGTGGATCGAGGGCGAGAGACCTGGCAGCTACGCGGCAGAGATGGCCAAGAGTGTCCGCTTTACCACCCAGGAGCAGACGGACAACACCTTGGGAAAGCCCGAGCTCATCCTCTACACACTCAACCTCGAAGAATATGGGTATGGGCGCGAGCTTTTGATATACAGGATATTGGATGAGTGTGACAATTAGCCCCCATCTTCTTACCTGTCACAATTTGCATTCATTAGTAGATTTGTAGTAGCGTGACACATGGGCGTCAGTTTGCTCACTCTCGTGGTTTGGAGAAATCTAAGAGCAAAATAGTGACCAGCGTTAAATAAACCAACAAGAACAAAAGCACATGCACTTAATTCACGTGTTCCCTACATACTCATTCTGATACCATTCTAAATATGTTTTAGACGTAGGCGTATTTCAATCAGTAAATATCATAATTGGATAACCATGGCAAGCAGGCGTGTGGCTGAGAGATGCTGGGGACTTTGTAACAACAGTCATCTCACTTTCTTCATCCTTTCTCTTCCTCAGTTCTGGCGGCGACTGCGATGTCAACCAAAACAAAGACTCCTGCTGCAGGGAAAAGTACTTCATCAACTTCCGTGCTCTCACCTGGACGCAGTACTGGATCATTGAGCCTGCAGGCTACCAGGCCTTCAAGTGCACCGGAGGCTGCAAGCAGCCGAAGCGCAACTACGGGTACGGGGACAGGCGATGCGCGGTGTCTGAGAGCGCCCCGTTACCCATCATGTACCTGGTGAAGAAGGGGGACTACACTGAGATAGAAGTGGCTGAATTCCCCAATATGATTGTAGAGAGATGTGCGTGCACAATGGACAATGTCTCCATAGTATGACGTCATGGAAAACAGCTATAGTGATCCTATAATCACAGACTGCTGGGAAGTATTATAGGAATATTATAGTGGGGTTTTTTTTCATTGGGGTGTTGATATATTTAATGGTTTTAAATAACACGTCTAGTACTTTCTATTTAAATGGACATTTATTGGGAGTTTCACACACACAACAGGCAGTCCTGCTGCCAATAATCTCCTTCCACAAGCACTTTTATATATTTTGTAAATTTTTATGTCTTTTATATTCGAATTTGTATGCGTTGTGTTGATTCTGCAGCTGTCATTCAAATTCTGTCTGATGTGTTATATTGTCAAGCTGTACATAATATGGATGAGTATATGTTTGGAAAATAAAAAATATTTTGTTTCATTTAAGACTTTATGGGCTTCCTCTTCCCTGCTGAATGGCCCCATTCACATTCATGATCACATTCACATGCAGTTACATACAGCTGCCAGCCTCCTCTATTTACGCTCATAGGAAGTTGTAAAGCAGAGCAAAATGATTTGCCTAATGACATATACACTGGGGGCACACTGTTGTTGACAATGACGGTCAAACCTACTTGTAATGCCTTATTTACAGTGGGTAGGAGCTACACCGCCACATACAGAGAAACACGAAGTTAATTCACAAGAAGCTACAATGGGCTCTTCATGTGTTTACATCAGACTTAGCCGGGGCCAAAGGTTGGTAATCAGGGCCAATACCTAATGCACTGTTTGCTCTCTGAGTAGGGGGTCTTGTTATTCACTAATATGCTGCTGATGGAGGTAAACATGCTGCCCTGCCAAAGGCAAGCAGCTGTCTGTCTGGGAGGGAAGTGGATTCCCAACATGCACCTCCAGCAACACCAGGAGGTATGGGAACAGGTGGCGCTGTGAAGAATGAATGTCACTCTATAAAAACATGCACCCCCACTTAAGAGTTTTCACTTTTCAGTGTTTTACAACATTAAATCAAACTAGAACTTATGTGGCTTTTTGACACCGATCAACAAGTATTCATCTCCTTTAAATAGTCACACTGAAATCCTTAATGATGTAGCCAACTGGCTTTAGAAGTCACATAATAAGTTAAATGAAAATCCCCTGTGTGTAGAACTCACCGGCCACTTTACACCTGTTCAATTACTTGTTAACACAAATAGCTAATCAGCCATCTTCCAATGGCTACTTCCAGCAGGATAATGCACCATGTCGCAAAGCTCAAATCATCTCAAAATGGTTTCTTGAACATGACAATGAGTTCACTGTACTGTGTAATGTGGTGGAACGGGAGATTCGCATCATGGATGTGCAGCCGACAAATCTGCAGCAACTACATGATGCTGCCATGTCAATATGGACCAAAGTCTCTGAGGAATGTTTCCAACACTGAAAGTATGCCACTAAGAATTAAGGCAGTTCTAAAGGCAAAGGGGTCCAACCCGGTACTAGCAAGGTGCACCTAATAAAGTGGCCAGTGAGTGTAGATAGATAGATAGATACTATATTCATCCCAGAAGGGAAATTGCAGGGTATAAATCATAGAATAAACACACCTGTATTTGGATGGTCCAACTTTTGGGAAGTCAGTGTTGTGGCAAATCCTACAATATGAAGACAAAGGAACACTCCAAACAACTCAGCAAAAAAAGATTAATAATCTTTATCTATCTAATCCAAAAGAAAAAGCAAAAATCAGAAACATTCCCAAGTCACTGAACATCACCTGGAGTTCAGTTAAATCAGTCAGAGGGAAATGGAAAGAGTCAGACACAGCTGTATATCTGTTTGGAGCAGGCAGCCCCACAAAACTGGGTGATGACAACTCTGAAGGAGTTCCATGCTCCAGAGCCTAGAGAGGCTGCTCCACCAGTTTCAGCTTTAGAGAAAGCCAATCTTCAACAAGGGTCTACATCCAGGCAGGCAGCTCTGTGGGGATGTACACTGCTCAAAAAAAAAGGGAACACTTAAACAACACAATGTAACTCCAAGTCAATCACACTCCTGTGAAATCAAACTGTCCACTTAGGAAGCAACACTGATTGACAATCAATTTCACATGCTGTTGTACAAATGGAATAGACAACAGGTGGAAATTATAGGCAATTAGCAAGACACCCCCAATAAAGGAGTGGTTCTGCAGGTGGTGACCACAGACCACTTCTCAGTTCCTATGCTTCCTGGCTGATGTTTTGGTCACTTTTGAATGCTGGCGGTGCTTTCACTCTAGTCGTAGCATGAGACGGAGTCTACAACTCACACAAGTGGCTCAGGTAGTGCAGCTCATCCAGGATGGCACATCAATGCGAGCTGTGGCAACAAGGTTTGCTGTGTCTGTCAGCGTAGTGTCCAGAGCATGGAGGCGCTGCCAGGAGACAGGCCAGTACATCAGGAGACGTGGAGGAGGCCGTAGGAGGGCAACAACCCAGCAGCAGGACCGCTACCTCCGCCTTTGTGCAAGGAGGAGCAGGAGGAGCACTGCCAGAGCCCTGCAAAATGACCTCCAGCAGGCCACAAATGTGCATGTGTCTACTCAAACGGTCAGAAACAGACTCCATGAGGGTGGTATGAGGGTTCAACGTCCACAGGTGGGGGTTGTGCTTGCAGCCCAACACCGTGCAGGACGTTTGGCATTTGCCAGAGAACACCAAGAGTGGCAAATTCACCCTGTGCTCTTCACAGATGAAAGCAGGTTCACACTGAGCACATGTGACAGACGTGACAGAGTCTGGAGACGCCGTGGAGAACGTTCTGCTGCCTGCAACATCCTCCAGCATGACCGGTTTGGCGGTGGGTCAGTAACGGTGTGGGGTGGCATTTCTTTGGGGGGCCGCACAGCCCTCCATGTGCTCGCCAGAGGTAGCCTGACTGCCATTAGGTACCGAGATGAGATCATCAGGCCCCTTGTGAGACCATATGCTGGTGCGGTTGGCCCTGGGTTCCTCCTAATGCAAGACAATGCTAGACCTCATGTGGCTGGAGTGTGTCAGCAGTTCCTGCAAGAGGAAGGCATTGATGCTATGGACTGGCCCGCCCGTTCCCCAGACCTGAATCCAATTGAGCACGTCTGGGACATCATGTCTCGCTCCATCCACCAACACCACGTTGCACCACAGACTGTTCATGACTTTTCGGATGCTTTAGTCCAGTTCTGGGAGGAGATCCCTCAGGAGACCATCCGTCACCTCATCAGGACCATGCCCAGGCGTTGTAGGGAGGTCATACAGGCACGTGGAGGCCACACACACTACTGAGTGTCATTTTGACTTGTTTTAAGGACATTACATCAAAGTTGGTTCGGCCTGTAGTGTGGTTTTCCACTTTGATTTCGAGTGTGACTCCAAATCTAGACCTCCATGGGTTTGATTTCCATTGATAATTTTTGTGTGATTTTGTTGTCAGCACATTCAAATATGTAAAGAAAGGAGTATTTAATGAGATTATTTCATTCATTCAGATCTAGGATGTGTTATTTTAGTGTTCCCTTTATTTTTTTGAGCAGTATACTTGGACACACTGGTGCTTTGAGCTAAACACTAACATCAGTATGCTAATGTACTCACAATAACAAAGCGAGCGTGTTAAGTGTTTATCAGGTGCAATGTTTACCATGTTCACCATCTTAGTTTAATGTTTGCCATTTAGCAGTAAGCATGAAGCAAATGAGGCTGGTGGGAATGTCATTAGTTTTCAAGGTATTTCAATAACCAAAAATGTCAATCTCATGGTAGTGTTAGATGAAATGTCAGGGGATGATTGGTCCCCTGGTGTCCATCAATGTCTGTACAATATTCACGGTAATCCATCCAACAGTTGAAATACTTCAGTCTGGACAAATTGGCGAACTGACCGACAGATCACTGGCATGGCTTAAAAAGCTTCGTGTCATCTCAGCCAGTTTCCCTTAGGGGAGATACTTTCATTTGGAGGGTTTGGTGGTCTAATGAGACCAAAATTGAGCGTTTGACTATCATACGCCATGTTATACTGCACTCCTTCAGAAGGAAAACTTGGTGCTGTCAGCTAGAAACCTGTGATTTGGAAAATGTTTTTCAGCAAAACAATGAGCCTGAGCATTAAGCCAAAGCTACACAGTAACAGCTTCAAAGCCCAGAATGCAGTCCAATAAAGTCAGATTCATACAGATTTAACATATTACTGCCTAAGGTGCTTCTACTACATACTTGCAAAGTAGTATTCTGTTATTTGTGATTCATTTAAATCACACGGAAAATCTACTCTGTTTGGGGGTGGGGGGTTAACAAACCACAAAGTCACTGTATACCAGCTTCTTAACTTTAATAGAGTTTGGGACAAATTAAAAAAGAAAATACAATCCCACATTTTTAAAACAAAAAATATCAAAAACTGTCAGATAGAAAAGAGAACAAATCTCAAAAGTCTCAAAGCTTTTGCATTGTTGGTTTAATCATAAAAGACCTGATATACAACCTGCAACATAAAGCGATAAAAATATAGTGTCTGTTGTATTGTAGATTAAACTGTTAACTCAAAGCTTGCATTCTGCTAGATTTATGTATGCAGTACAATAAGAGGAGGGCACAAACTCTCCACACATTTAAATAGTTGACAATTCATCACACAGCAGTACTCGGGCAAACTAAAACTTTCTTAATCACAATAGTTATTACTCGAAGTCAGTTAATTCATGAACATTCGTGCACGGTTGAAATAGTGGTGAAGTATTTACATGTTTATTAAATATCAACATGGGCAGGTAAAAAAAATCAAAATGGAAACACACACACACAAACCACATTTCGTCTGATCTACTGTTACGGTGTTCTCCAGCTCGGTTCTTCTAGTTTTGAAACAAAGCTGGGCGTCCTCTGCCAGGATAATGAGCTGGGACACATTCTGAGCAGTTTGATGACGAGCTGCCATTATTGCAGGGCCACACAGTCACTAACAGAACGGAGCGCTTCCAAACAATGCATTTAAGTTGCCAAAACGTTACTCTCTGCATCTTCTGCAATCAGCCTGAAGAGGTCTTCATGAACCGTTGGTGGTGTTAATAGGGTTTGCGTTGTGATACTGTGTAGCCCTTTAAGTCTGCTGGTGAAAATGAGTAACCCCTGCCTGCTTTCAATCACTTTTGTGCTGAACTAGTATCAGAAATTTGTTCAAAATTTAAATAGTGGTGTCAATATAAAATGTCTAGTTTGTAATTTGTTGGACTGATCAGTGCTTGCCATTTTTCAGAAGTCTAGCGCACTACAGGAACCATTGATAATCTAATCAACCACCCTCCCTGTCAAGCGTAGTCAGTGCCCTAATTTTCCAAATATAAATTAAAAGACATTTAAAAACAAATTTAAGAAAGGCATAATGTAATACTAAAATGGCTTACTTATATCCTTAAAATGGCTTTGCCAAAATACTTTCTCAAATGTACATTAGAATAGCTAAAAGGACTGGAAAGACGTATCAAAGACAGGACAGTTGAAGGGAATACTTTACTAATGAAGTGTAAACTGGGACTTGTAGTGGGGCTGATGTCTGTACTGTTTGAAGTAGCAAACTCTGACATCGCCCATTCAAAGGTCTTTTACACACCTTTGAAATGAATCAAAAGTCATAAGCCAGGAAGAATGTAAAAAAGCAACGAGTTGTTTATTGTAGGTCTATGGAGTTTAGGTTACAGGTTTGATTGGAAAAAAGACAAAAGCTTGCTGTAATCTGTTGCTTTAGTTTAACTGTTTGACTATATTGACATGTACAGTACAATATAATCACCTACCATGCTCTTCGCTAATAAGCAAAGGTTCCTTTCAATCATAACTGTAACAAACTACGCAAAAGAAAAAATATTTACAATTTGTAATAAAAAAAGCAAAACAAAAATCACAAGCACAGATAAAATGCACAACCCTGAAAAAAAATCTTTCCTAACATTTGCCAGGCTGGCAACATGTTTCTGGTTCCTGATATTACAAACATGAGATTTTTTTTTAAAAAGCACGTTATTTAAAAGTGGCGGGGGAAAAAAAATAAAATTAAAAAAAATAAAATTTTAGATAATGAAATATACAACAGAAGAAATAAAACAGATGATTGAATGAGAATGAACCCACGTCGCACGTGTATATAGATATATAAAGCTTCAATTACACTCAGGGTGCCTGGTCTCCTCTGATGTGGAATGTTGTTGCTCCATATCGCTTTTGTCTTCAGTTGGTGGGTTTTAGATTAAAAAGTGGGTTCTAGGAAAAGAAAAAAAATCAAAAAGCGGGGTGGAGGATGTTCCGTGGCTAGCGGTGGGTCTCATGTCTGCCACCAGTCCGTTAGAACAAGTGTCTTAGTAATATCCAGGCTGATACTGCTGGCTCCATGGCTTCTGGTTCCAGAACTGCACAGGACACATGAGGTGAGCAATCAGTACCCTATCACAATCTACTAAATATATAGATTGGTGCTTTTGTTTGGTCAAAGTTAGGTTATTGTTTCATAAAGCAATTCCAGGGAGAGGCTTTAAAATTGTTCCTTGTTGGCACATTCAAGGATGCTCAAACATCTGTTAAGAGCAGATATTATAGAAAGTGGCTGCATACCAGTTTATTCAACTTTAATAGAATTGAGAAAAACATTAAAAACTAAGACAGACAACAAATCTCAAAAAGTCAAAGGCCTCTGTTCTGTTCTGCTCTGTATCTTAAAAGCACTTCATTCACAAAACCATATAAACCTGACTCATGTGAAAAGAATAGTATCAGAGGTAAAAGGAAATTCTAAAACTAGTTTGTTATAGAAGTTGTTTTTACAGTCCATGTACCAGTATGGTATATTACAGGCACTTTAAACATTGTTTTGATGGATTGTCACACCTGCTGGGGCACAGTGAAACAGCCTTTCATCAGAATATTACATTTATTTTTAATGGAAATCAATCATTTATTCTTCAGTAACCCACAGGGCTAATTCACTTTTTACTTCAACTCTATTTACACTAATGCTAGTGGGAAATACAGCCAGTGGGACTGTATAGTTTTATTCATATACATACACAAAGTTTAATCTGAATTGTTTTAACATTGACTGTGTGAAGCCAAGTGTAATATGCAAAACAGAACCTGCAGAAATACTGACCCCTTGCTGCCAGCTCTGGTTGAAGGCTTGAGCCTTGTCCATGCCGTTCCTGTTGCCACCAAAGTTGCCACCGTTCCTGTTGCCACCAAAGTTGCCATTCTTGTTGCCACCAAAGTTGCCACGGTGACCACCTCTTGGCTGAAACTGTAGGAGGGAATGAAATGTTACCATTATGTTTGTTAAAGGGTTCAGCTATTTTTGAGCCATTACAAACATTTAACAAAAGTTAAAAACTTTTAAGGACGTAGGAAGTGTTTTCAGTGACAGACATTTTGTCTAAAGACCTTGAAATTGGATAGTAGGATGTAACAGTGCCATTATCAAAACCCACCTGGCTAGGATGTCCCCGGTTTCCGCCACGGTTCATGCTGGCTCCACCTCCTCTGTTCATGTTCCCTCTGTGCATTGGGCCACCTCTGTTCATGGCTCCCCCTCTGGGTCCCATGTTACCCCTCATTGGTCCACCCCTGGGGGATCCGCCAAGGCTGGGAAGGGGGCCGCCGCGGTTGAAGTTTCCACGGTTGGGGAACCCTCCTCTGAAGGCTGGGGGAGGCAGGAAGCCACGAGGGGGTGGACGGTTGAAGCTACCACGAGGACCAGGAGCTGCACATGGATCAAAAACAGTTAGAAATGAACACATTTTCAACTGCTTCAAAAGATGTGAACTACACAATCAGAAGAACAGAAAAGTTTAAGAAAATTACATCCCCAAATGTCAATCCTACCTCCTCTGAAGTTGCCTCTGTTCTGGAAGCCTCCGCGGCCACCGCCTCTCTGCCCAGGTCCACCGCCGCGGCTGAACTGGTTCTTGCCTCCCCGGCCACCACCACGCAGGCCACCGCCTCTTTTTGGTGTTGTGCTTCCCTGGTTGGGTTTCTTCTCAGCTGGCAGAGCGGTCTTGCTTTCCTCTTTGTACTGTTCCAGTAGCTTGGCAGCCTCCTCCTTCTGAAGCTCAGCATAGATGACCTCATTGAAGCTCTCTCCCTCTTCAGGCAGAGAATAGAAGCCTGTGATGGATTGTGACAACATGATGGTTAGGGATGCCAAAAGAGGCCAGTCTGAATCTGAGACACACTCAGATTTAAACTATAGAAGTGTACTTAATAGCAGAAGCATCGTTATTACTTTTCATTTTGAAGACAGCGTGCTCAGGCACTTCTTTGCCATCACTCTCAACCTTCTGCTGGACTCTCTGCTTGTAGTCGTCATCAGAGGGGCAGACCACCACAGCCTTGCGCTGGAAGCCTGCAAACAAGCACATCTTCCTCTTCTGGCCCGGTGCAGACAGGTTGGTCTGGGGAAGAGGAGAAAGGGTCTCAATTATACACCAATTTATAGTGTCCCATTTGTAGGGCTGACCCCGAATAGTTGAAGATTCACTGCGAAATGATGATCATGCCGTTTTGGTGATATGGGGGTGCTCAACGTTTGATTTTACACAGAACTACCAGTTTTCTCCCAATAAGTTAATATACTGCCTATTACAATATACATTTCAATATATAATGCTGTAAATAAAAAAGCTTAAGTGTTTTTAAAGTGCCTGAATAAATCCAGTATTGTAACCCTAACCCTCAAGATAGGGGGCATCAGTGCGCATGTATAGGCGTAGAGTATGTGTGTAGTAGCAGAAGAGGAACTTGCTAGGCAAGACGTGACAATTTGGAATAGACTATGTAAACGCTTAATCGGGGACAGACCTGATTTTTTTTTTTTGTTGTTGTATCGATATAACATTGGCAAACGCTGTGATCAAATTCAATGACAGCCACTTACATGATCCAAGATGTAGTTTCTCTTCTTGCGGGCAGCAATCTCAATAAACTTTCCCAAGAAAAGTGGTGCTCTCTGGGAAATTGCAGTTAGTTTTGTAATGTCCTTGGACTGACGTTTCAGGCTGTTGATCTGTATTAAGTGATGGGATAAAAATAGATGACATTAATAATAAACGCATACAATAGAGGTACAGAGACTGTCCAGATTTTAAAGGGCTACCATAAACAGCCACCAGGAAACCACACAGCTGTATCAGTACTGACCATCATCTTGTCCACAATGGTGTCGCTGCCCAGGATGTAGTATTTCCCAGGGTTCTCCTGGACATGGTTCTTCACCCATGTCGTCTTCCCTGAACCTGGCAGGCCTACCATTACTATGATCTACACAACATAAAAAGGCAAAAGAATTAATTAAGATCAGCCCCCCAAAAATTGGCGTCAAATCCTGAAACACTCGGTATATTATAGTTATGATAATCAAAATAAAATATATACACATTACTATGCTTACCTCGCAGTCAGCCTTCGTCTGTGGCCCCTTGAGACCCCGGACTCGTTCACTCACAGGGATCTGCTGTAGGAAGGTGTAGCCCTGGGGCTGAGGGAAGTACGGAGTCTCCATCTGGCCAAAGTTGAACTCCACAGCACAATTGTGGCAGATTATGTGTGGAAAAAGGGCCTGGCCCTTCAGAGTGTCCTTGCTGACCTGGAAAGCGACAGCCGGCTCCCCGCCATTCTTTGAAAAGGACAACACCACCTCCTCACCCTCAAAGTCCTAAGCAACGAAAGCAAGTGATGGGGGAAAAAAAGTTATGAAACGACAATATATGCATGACTCATCCTGAAATTACACAAGGTTCCTCCTTCTGAAATACATTAAATGGGGAACAATATGCAGCTTTGCCATTTTAATAATTCTTTTGTTATTGTGGCTCTGTTTTCATCTACTTTAATGAACTGATCAATCCAAGTAGCATTTATGTCTTACAATAAGGCAGCAGATGACATCATTCTCCTCATAGGTTTCCCCAAAGTCCTCTGTCACACAGTTGGCAGTCTTCTTGCCTTTCCCAGAATATGCATAAGAATGTTCCTCCTCACCTGGACATTAATAGGAGAATACAAAACACATTTAGTGGACTACTGATATTTTTAAATTAACACACCATGTCTCACTCACTGGGACTCTGTAATGGTGTGTGCAGCATCATCATCATCATCTCTATATGTTGGCAATAGGCCAGCCACCATTACCATGATGCAGCCAGAACTGGAGCCATTTTACATTAACATGCCGTAATACTTATGAACCACTAGAGGGACCCATTAGCCTCTTTTTACAGAGGCTCACAGCAGCCTCCGTTTTAAGTGTCATCTTGTTTGACAGTACTTAATGCAAAAACAACCAACCAGAACAGTTTGTTTTGTCAAAGATCCCATCCAAAATACTGCAGTACTCTGAACCACACAGTATTCTGCATGACTGAATCATAGCAAATGGCTGCATTGGCTTAGTCACCATTTTGTGTAACGGAGAGGTAATAAAATCCCATAGCGTTTACATGATTATAGACAAAAGCTCAAAACAGACAGTTTCTTTTAACTGTTTTCTGTACACCATGTGTGTTATGTGACCAAGTACAAACTATTCTGGCAACAAGTGGAACAAACGGTGCCATGGGTAAATGGAAAGTTACTGCTGGACAAAACAATATAATAAGCATTAGACTGTAGATCTAAAGCATATATAAAAAGACACTGACCAAGGAGCAGGGTGCCAGTAGCCAGGGACCAGCCGACCTGCACGTCATGAATCTCCATGTTCTTGCTGGAAATGTGCTTAACAGGAATTTTCTCTGTAATCTGTTGACACGAAGCAAGACACATGAACAAAATGTATCAGGATTCATTTCCACTAGTCTGAAAACGCCATTTAAAATTCTACATAAAGCTAGAAACATTCAGGGATGCAATAAGAAAAATAATGGTGTGGTACGACTGGGAAAAGGGAATTCTGTGCATGATATGTCAGTACTGTTACTGTACCTTCATCTCAAAGCAGGCTTTGCCTTTGTTCACACCGTAGGTGGCCTTGCCTCCGGACCACAGGTAAGCAAAACTCTCCATTGTGAGTGATGAGGCACTGTAACGGTCCCGTGACACCTTGAAGTGCAGATCGCAGTTGTCTACAACACAGAAATGAAAATTTTATATCAATCTGTATCCATGTGAATATGTCTCTGCTGAAATGTGGTTAATGTTCTAGATAATGTCTTCTTTGTAATTATAATTCTGGATCTTAAAATAACATAGTTAAGGACATAAGAAGTTGACTTTAAAAATTCCTTTCACATCAAAAAACAAAACACCAACACTTACAGGCATCCAGGCAGACTTTTGTATCATCAAACTCCTCATCTTCTTCCTCCAGAGGTGGCACAGGAGACTTAAATGAGGCCCTGGAAAGAGATAGTAACCAGACAATTAGAGGATTCACACGTTAATGCAACTGCATGGAACATATAGATGACTTGGGTACCACTTGCTGAAAAATATTTGGGAAAGAAGTGAATAGACGGACTAGGGGTAAAACAATACAAAAGAGACAGTAAATTGGGCCAAGCGAGCCTCCAAACTTTTTGGATAGTCAACTATAGTGTGGGCCTTGGCAAACACTTACCTTGCAGTATCCAGCGAAATCTAAAATGTGAGAGATACACAGAAAGAAAGCACCTCTGCTAGCCTTAACATGCAAGGCTATCCATTGGCGAAAGTGACCAAATCAAGCGTCCTCTCCCCTTTGGGATCAGTGTGTTTATGATCTTGGGGATTGCTGTGGGGTCAGTCATAACGATGACGGGTACAGCTATATTTAACTTGTGTGGTCTGCTAAATGAAAAGGTCATGACTAACTCACACTGGCCCTGTGTAACTTTGTAGTACAGGTTGTCACCATGCTTAGCTACTTGAAATGAGCGATCGCAGTGTACTGAGAGCTACAGCAACTTACCAACTCTGTAGCTTGAGATTAGGTACCTAAATCTCTTACAGGAAATTAAAGAAACTAGTTAAATTGTTGTAAAGCAGGTAAACATTTCAGTGATGCTTAAGCACTGTTCCACCTGAAGCAATGATCCAAGTCCAGTGGAGTAGAGAAATTATTTAAAAGGAAGAAACAGATACATACTGTCTGTCAGTAGGAGCATATGGTGAATGCAGTCAGCTAGTGGGTCACACAATGGCTGCTGCTCTATAGGCCTGTGGCTGCCCAGGGGCCTCTGGTTTCACAAAGGATAGAGAAAAGCTCTACAAAATTGTTGGGGATAATATTATGGCAATAGAAAACGAAGGAAATATTGGACTTACAAATTGGAAATGAACGAACGCTTGTAGAATAAAAATAAAAGAAAGGCTGTCCGATAGGGTGGTGGTTGAGGGGGTTAAAAAACAAAAAAACAACCCCCAGCAACCTGTAGAGCAGCAATACTATCGCATTCTAATAATTCTTGCGCCACCCCCTGCTCCCCATCCAACCCCCAAATGGCTGAAGGATGAATCAAACATTGATTCCATTTTCTGCCACTTGATCCTTACATTGTGTCAACAGCGCAATGAAAACAAAACACTGACCAAGAAGTAGGTACATGTATGCCCACACATACACTCAAACACACCATGCATGATGTCACCTGTGCAGGAGTAGAAAAGAGCCTCGCAAACACACATCCACGCTATGATAAACATACACACAAGACATGATACATGGGACAGAAATAGCATTTTTTGACGTCATACAACCAAAACGGGGTTTAAAAAAAAAAAAAAAAAAAGAGACTATTGCGAGGCAAAACGATGGACGGTCAATAGCGAGCTCCTCTGTGGACGTTCCAAACACTTTGGGAATTTTGCTACATCCTTGTGTGCTACCCTGCAGCAGTGAACCCCTCCCTCCCAAACCTACCTCGGCTATTCCTCCCCACCCTCCCTCCTTTCAAAAGTGCACATCTGCTATGTTCCTCTGTGTTTGTTCTCTTTGAGCAGCCTTGATTCACCTTGAGGACACAATGGGCTTTCCAAAACAATAAGTGGCATGAGGAACAGATGTGAAAATTCATAGAGACTTGATAGTTGCACTTCTGCTACAGAATGCAGTCCATTAAAGACACAAATGTGAGTGGGCACTGTAGAAGGTAAATGGTAAGGCTCTTAAAGTAGTCAGGGATGACCCTCAAAACATGTGTGAAAGTAAGGTCAATAAATAGTATAATACTTGAAAATGAGGGTTTTTTCTTGCTAGTTAAATGTGCATTGGCACTTAAAGCCAATACAGTTCAACAAAGCTATGGATGGCGCTTCAGGGATGCTGAAGGCCATTTTTGCTCTGTCCCATCCTTACCAGCTGTATTTGTTCTCTTCAATAAATTCAAAGTAGCCCCTTCCATGTTCCTCCCGGCGTCTCTTAACACCCTTCTTATTCTTCTGATCAGCATTCGTGTCTTTGTCCGCATCCCCTTTGAAAATAGAACAAAGATAGAATGAGGTGCTCCTTTTTATGTGAGAGAGAGGTCGGACTGGCAGTGGGGTTCTGGCCCACAAAGCCCGTTCATTAGTTACATTGTGTCCACCATAATCATCAATATCAAAAAAGGTAACGCCTCATGATTACACTTAAACACCACAATCATACTGCATAAATTGTAACAGCCCTAATGACCAGATAGTAATTACAATGTAAGCTGGTCCAAATGAACATTGTGAACAGTGTTCGCTGGGGATGGAAAAAACAAGTCTCTGCAAAATAACTGGACATTAACCCTGCAATGAAGGGTTTAGCTTATCCTTGTTTCAATAAGATTTGGATATAAATATGTTTCAATAAGGACAACTGTGGTCTGGGACAAATGCATCATGCAAGGAAAAAGGGATGCCTACATAGTTCTTGACTATTGACCCCTCCCCCTATATCTTACCCTAAATAACCTATTCATTGTAAACCAAAACTTACTATAACAATAATGAGACTTTCTAATCAAACCACGTACAAACTAACCACGTGCTAGACAAGCAGTTCAGGGCCTGCCCCATCTCCCGCACAGCTTTGGGTCTGCTAGTTCAGGTGTTCCCGGCCCATGAAGTCAAATCCATTTGTCATACACAGTCACCCCATGTGCTGAAGTTTAGTCTACCCATTCCCGGGGATTTAAAATTGAGTTTATTTTGTACTTCTTTTGATGCTGCCCAATTGTTCCTTTGAGCATAAGGCAATTAACAGATGCGGGAGAAAGGCACCATACAATCAATACAGTCAATCAATATAGTGAAAACATCTTAAAACAAATTGATCTCAGTAATGCTATTTTTTTAAATGATTATAAAGGGATTGTCTTGGCACTCCGCCACCCTGCCATCTTATCCGTAGTGAAACGTCAATATGGGAACCACTGAACTAGCTAACCGGCTGATCAGCTAGTTAGCGCTGCACCACAGACAAAGAAAATGACGTTAGCTGGCAAGCTAACACGCTAGCCAAGCGAAACGAAATGCCGGAGTAAACTAAATTAATAGCTTAATTCTCAGTTCATCTGCTGGTTAATTGTTTCTATCGACATTCAATTTTGAAGAAAAATATTTAAATTAAAGTTTGCGGACTGGGCTATCAACACTTAACGTTATACCAAGGCGGTGACCGATGCTAACGTTAAATTAGCATGCCGGCTAACGGTTTCAGTTTGTGGCTAACGCTTGCTAGTCTAGTGAGGTCACGCTATTTAGCTCAACATGGACGCTCTGTTGTATGGTTACGCATTCAAATTTGTCATTCCCAGCCGGCTCCCTCGCTTGGGCTCCCTCCCGCGGTAGCATTATCGCTAACGTTATAATAAAAACCGACACCCAGCCACAGTCCATCCAGCCAGTCACATTTTCATAACCAACCCGATCGACTCACCCTCAGCAGCCTGGTCCCCGGGCTCACCATCCTCTGCGTCTATTTTCTCCATGTCGTCCACATCTCCCTTAAGCATTGGATCCATTTCGTCTTCCTCGTCCCCGTCCTCTTCCCCCTCACCCATCTCTTCGTCCTCGGCGACGCCACCACCGTCGCCTCCATTTTCCGGCTCTTCTTCCTCCCCCTCCACCTCGTTGGCTTCCATGCTTTCTTCTATCGGGCCCTCGCCCTCTTCTTCCTCTCCCATACCCTCCTGTTCGGCGGCCTGGCCGAAACCCTCATCCGCCGCCGCTTCTTGGTCCAGCGACGAGCCTTCGGCAAGGGCCTCCTCGTCCACCGCGGCCTGCAGGCGGTCCATCAGCTCGGCCTTCAGCCCCTTGTCCGAAAGATTACGCTTTTTCAGCTCGTCCTTCAGCTCGTTAACTTTAAGCTTTTTAACGTTAATTGCGCTCATTGTGAATATTTGACGGCAAACTGGATTAAATAAAACTCACAAATACGACACCAAATAAATAACTGGACGCCCTTTGTTAACGGATGTAGCTCAAAACTGCGCCAAATGGCACCCGTGCTGTCGACCAATCTCACACCGGCAGAAGAGCTGTGCTGATCCTGCTGTGTGGGGGAGGATGACGTCCCCTACCGTAATTACCCAGAGAGCGCCGCAGCTTGGTTATATAGCCCGCTGACCATCTGTTACTACCGTAATAACAAACCAATTCTATAGAAAGCGTTGATGTGGAAAATTGTGGAGGAAAACAATTCAACACTTAAACACCACCCAGGATAGCAGGCTACTCATCTAATTGTTATCTGCAGAATTCTTATATGCTTGGAAAGAAGTAAACATATTGCAAAATACATTTTAGAAGGGACCTTTTAACAAGGCTGCCAACCTTTCAGTTTAGTTTGGAGTAAGATTCAGCTGAGGTCGATGCATTTTATGAGGCCTACTGTGACATTACCCACCGCAGGTTTCGGGGTCATCACCCCTCACAGGTAATCACAGGAGCTTTATTTATAAAAAGTTCAGCACTCAAACTCACAATTTAAAAACACGTATGAAAAGCCAAGTCAACAACCATGATCAATGATGAATAAGCAGGCTATGGTTGATCAGCATACATTCTACAAAATTCAAAATATTAAAATAATAACATAGGCTCTCAGGCATGCTGTAGGCTATATTGCTTTCATATGTTTTCTCCTGTATAGATCAACTTTTCCCATTTATTATCATCCCTGCTGAGTCAACATACACTTAGGCATGATTTAGTCTTCTTCCCACTTCTTTTGTTTCTTTTATTTGTGGAAGTAACCCTTTTATGTCAATGATAGGTCAATTCATTTAAATTAATTTATACCCCCCTAGACTTTAATACCTCTTGTCTTTTATCAAGCCTTCTGCTCATGTTCAAAAGATGCACATTCAAAATATATACTATCCCACATATCTGTGTTCTCTGACATGTCAAGAAAAAGTCTTGTAACAGAACTGTAACAGAAACCTTGGATAATTGGAGACTAATTCTGTCTTAGAGGAGTATTCTTGAACTTTCTGTCAACTACAAGAAGAATCAATTTGTCATTTGTTTGATCAACATACTGTAGATTTTTTTTGGCTGTATGTTGAACTTTATATAAAAAGGAAAATGATTCATATCCAGGAAAACAACATTCTTCTAAGTATTGAAAGAAACGAAAAGGAAATTTGTTTTGTACGGTTGGCTTTATTATTGGGGATGTTTTTCCTAAACAAGAAAAAATGGACAGACTCCAAACCACACTTTGGACACTTTCACCAAGAATTCCATTAATTCAACACCCCGATTAAAGACTTTGCGGACAAGAAGGCAATCAAGACTAATTATGTGTTTGACAAATTTCTTACGGGCCGATATAATATTGAATCTTTACTCTTTTAATTTGTGTCCTGTTCTTTCTTTTTTTGTACATGTAGGCATATCCCTGGTTGTTTTGTGTTTATAATGTCAATACCTACATGCTGACTAAAGTAAAATAGCCTTTAGGCCCATAAGGGCTCAGATAAGGGTTGGTGGGATGATACACCTAGCTCATGAGATTTGACAATGCACAATGTCAGGGTTACTAAAAGAAGACAAGAAGATATTTTAACACTATTTTGAAGAAGTTTTCAATGCAGAAATATATGAGTGGTTCTCCCCCTGAAAATTCTGAGCATTAAACACTTCAATTCTGCATTACATACATTCACGGTGGAAATGTTTTTATTTATATAAAGTGAAACACAAAATCCTGCCCTGCCATGGACTGGCATCCTGTACAGGGTGTACCCCGCCTTTCGCCTGATGCCAGCTGGGATTGGCTCCAGCCCCCCGCGACCCTGTACGCAGGATAAGTGGTTGACGATGGATGGATGGAAACACAAAATTCAGGTGGCAGCTGAAAATTTGAAAATAAAGCATAATGAAGCAATCAGTAGCTTTTTTGTTTAACTTAAGTTACTTTATTTGGACATTGCACATTTGTTTTTTCCTCATTGCATGTTTTCTTGTGCCAATGAACCTTTCTCAAAGAATTTTCATGTCTTAGTTAACATTTCTTGTTGCAAGCTAGAACATTTTTAACAAATGCTTTCAAAAAGTGAAATCAGCTATTTCAAAATGTGGTGGGGACATGTCCCCAGCGTCCCCAGTGTAAATGACACCTATGTGTAGCCTATAATATATACCTATATGTATATGCCTATAGGCCTATATATACATATCTTTTTAAAAGAGATAAAAACAAAAATCTTGATAAAGGGCAGTTTTCAGCCGCTTCAGGCATCCTGCAGCAGAGAGACAATCCCAAACAAAGCAAGTCTGCGCCTCAGTTTTTAAGTTTGCAAACTCTACGTTACCGCTCTGTCGTCCGCGAGAGTGGCTCCACTGTAGGCGGAGGCCCGTGTCGCATCAACTGGGCAGAGATCATTCGCGCTGCAAGTCGACGTAATCAGTTATAGGCCCATTTGTTTTTAACTGCATGAGAAAATATATGTGTGGCGTGAGAGCTTGTGGATAGGGTCAGTTGCGTCAGTCTTACGCTCAGTGCATGAGAGTTGGCAGCTCTGTTAAAGCCTAACGTTTAAAATGCTTCCAGTTTCATTTACCATAATTCATTTAGGTATAATGGTCCTTGGCTGTAGCCTGTATTTTGTTAAACTTTGGTAAAATTATCTTGCCAGGGAAAATAGAAATATAGGCTACCTGCTTGATAATGAGGCTCTTCACGCATCTTTCCAATAGGTCTACAGCTAGTTATTTTAGGGCTGCATAGCGTCCAACAAAAAGCTAATCAAGTTAATCAAGAAGTAGAGGAGGCTCACTTTAACAGGCTATTGCATAGCTTTTAATTCATTTGAACACGTTTTTTATTTGCTCATATTAATAACAGAATTGATGACGGCTGTATAAAACATCTCCTCTGCTGCAGAAATACCAAATTCAGAAATCAAGAGCAACAAACCAGTAATTTTCAGACATTTGTCAGTTGCCGTTGAACATATTTACGCATAAGCACAAACACTGTCACTGTCCTGGGAGACACCATGAAGCACATTTAATGTTTTGTTCATCACTCTATTTTACTCATGTCATTCAGTTTTGTGCGCCCTGGTCTGTACTCTATTGAAAAAAAGCTGTGTGAATGTCTTCTGTGGCTCTGGGGGCTATGTCAAGTCTGAGAAAATAACCCATGCAGGAATCCTTATCTGACTGTGCTGTGCCATTACAATTCAAGTTAATTCCGTTAACAAACTGTTCAACACAGCCTGCACTTGCTCCTTACCGCCTCCCTGAGGAGGTTCCCATAACCAAGTGAATTCATGAAGTGTTCTCCAGTGCGCTCACTCCTTCTCCACTGTGCCACTGTCATCACTCCAGCTCTGAGCCAGTTTCTTCAGCCTCTTAGTTTGTCCTGATTTTCATTTAAGCCTACCATGAGTGAAATATTTTTGCTTTATATCCACGGAGCTTTGGCAAAATTAAAGAAAAGCGCATCCTGCCTTTGTTCGGCTATCTTTTTAAATATTAACAAGTTGTCATGTCATCTCTGACTGGAAAAGGAGAGAGATTTCCTGCCTCGGTCAGAACAGCACACTGGGTAAGTCAGATTTATTCGTTTTGAACAGAATTTGTAAAACGCTGCATGGTCTTTCCAGAGTTTCATTACTATAATATTGTTGCACTGCAAGAACAACACATGGGTGTGGTTACAGTTGTCCACGTCGATTGACATCTAATTTCCCACTGCCAAAGCCCACATACATCCTTCTTATAATGATTTAATTCTCAGAGCTCAGAAGTGCAGCATCACTGTGAGCCCGACGGCTTTTCTGCAAGTATTAAACTGAAAGACTGCCAACCCAAGGTGCGCCCTACTCCTGAGGGTGCCGGAAAGACCAGAGGCGACCCACATCGGAATATGTGCCAGAGAGCAGACGCTGTCCCGTCATACAAGTCCCTCCCTGGAGCTATAGGAGACCGCATCAGGAGTACTATGTCCTTTGGTAGCGGGACTATATGCAGAGGCACTATGTCGGCGTATCCCGGCTTTGGGAGGTCAGATGGTAAAGTTGCGTGTTGTGAGAAGTGCTCAGCGACCCTTGTTGCTCTGAAGAAACAAGCTCTGAGCCTGGCTGTTCACCATCAATTCTCCTGCAAGGTCAGTAACCGCGATGCTCTGATGGAGCTGCTCAGGGATGTGGTGGACCACAAATGCACTTATAGGAGGACCATGCTGCTCACTTTTAAGTTGATCCAAATCTTAATGAGGAAACAAATAGCCTACTTTTAAAACGGTGTTTGAGGTGAAACGCTGGCATAGACTAAAAAAAAGGAGGCTGATTCAAGTAAACACACAGGACTTTTCAGCAGGTGGTGGTATAGGGTTATAGTTGACAGACAATAAAGGTATATAATTATACCAGTGACTATTCTTTATGCAGAAACACTTCCATGGCTCATATTTTGAAGAAATAAGATATTACTATTCCAGTGTCTTAAATGTATTTATGTATTATATATATGTATTATATGAATATTTGCTTTTTTAATAGTCTAATATGATACTTAATTGCAAATATTTAAGGTTTTGAGTTTTTCCTTTGACAGAACAAGCAATATCATTATGCCAGCTCGGGTGCTGGGAAATTGTAATGGACATTTTTTATTTTCAGACATTTTGCAGACCAAAAGATTAACCAATTAATTGGCAAAAAAAAAACAATAGCTGCAGCCCTAATATAATAACACATATGTAGATTTTGTTACTAAAACTGACACTTTTAACACATTTTCGGACTTTATGTGGGGATGCTGCATGTTTCAGTCAAAATGCTTTAATGGTCACATGGACACATGAGTCTTTACAGTGCTGCCTCTGGGAGGTATGCACACCAGCCATCTGTACATTTGTCACCACTAACATCCATCAAACACACTCCAATCGACAAAGTAAGTAAAGCCATTCCTCCACGAGTGGTTTCAAATGGGCATGAATATTTCATCTCGACATCCGTGTGTCATCTGCACAGTCCTGTCCGTTGAGGGAAGACTATTTATTTTTGTCCTCTAAAGTGGGATGGGGCAAAGCTAGCATCATGTTTTTAGAGAGAGACCACAGGCAGTATACCATGTGAGCAGGAGAGAGATGGTATCTTGTGGCCACAGACATGGTCAGAAGAAATCTGATAAGCCAGCTAACTCCTTGCAGGTTTATTGATCTGAGCGTGATTTCTCAAAAGCATCATGTCTCTGTAACGTCATCTTTTTAGATGGGTTTGCAATCTGGCTAAAATGCAAAATCCAGTAGCAAATCTGGCTACTACAGCACATATCTTTCTTTACATATCCGTCATCAAGACATGAAACCTGAACATTTGCAGGTTGTTGTTTATTTTGCTAATCTGATGTACAATAATGATAATATTAGGTAATACATGTGGCTTATTTACCATTGGAAATTATTGTATGGAAGATATAATTGTAGTCCCTGATGTGTAATCATTTCTGGAGTGTTAATGCCTTTGCTTTACATAATTATTGAACGCTCCTGTGGGGGAATATGGGTCGCTGTCAATGTGCTGGCAGCTTGGATGGATGGGGTGGATGGGAAGGAGGAGGGAGTGAGTGTGTTGGATGGGTGTATAGGTGTCAAGGGCAGTCCAAAAAGGATGTGACACAAGATTGTCTTTGTCAGGATGAAAAGCGAGATGATGATTTCATGTACAGCATAGGTCCATGCTGGAAACCTTTTTAATTAGTATGATTTAAACTTTTTCAAACCTCATGTTTGGAAGTTCCTAAATTAAATAGAATTATTATCCTCCATCTACATGACAATTGTGCATTAAAGTTACAGAATCACATTAAATTACCATGATATGACAAGACTGGATGATTGCCCAGCATTCACAGAATATTTATATCATAATATGATAATATTTTATAGCATAATATGACATTTTATAGCACGTTTTGGCCAGGGAACAATTTCAATTTCAACAAAGCTATTATTTTCATCAGGAGGGAAAATGAAAATGAAATGCTCCTTTAAACATTGCAAGGATAACAACAGAGATTCATCACACTTTTAGTTTATTTTAAAGGTGCAGTAAGTAAGTTTTCTTTGCTTACTGCATTTTTAAAGATGACAGGGGTATTATTAATCAATACCCCTGACTCCATGATTACTTAAGCTAAGTGCTAAGATTGCTTTCAGTGCCTTCTGAAGACTCAATTTCCATATGCTCAGTGATCATTCATGTAATTCTCAAGCCAGAAATCAAACAAAGCAAGTTAGCTTTGTTATATATCTTCACTAGAAGCTTGTGCTGAATCTCTGATCCTTCTTAGATTAGTGTTTTTTTTGTGAAAATAGATCTTATGTCAACTACAGATAACAAACACCTAACCCAAATTTGTTTGCAAGTAGTAAATGGAAAATGATTGCTGCAACTTCTTTGTAATTTTGCAGGACTCTAGTGACCTGTGTGCATTTCTTCACGACAACCTTCGCGTCCATAGTCGGTCCACCAATGAGTGCAGGGACAGAGACAGGGAGCAGGGTGAGTGTGGAGCCTGCGGTGTAAACCTGAACCAGCTCAAAGAAGAGGCTGTCCACTTGGCTCTGAGCAGGGGTCAACCATTAGCTAAGCCTCCCTTTGAACCCAGCTTTAGCACCAGTCCACTGCTGGGACAAAGTGAGACAAAGCATGGAGACAGAGCTCCAAGGGAAGCTGCCACTGCTGTGCATCAACCACGCAGTCGCACCCACACTCCTCACAGCCCAAGAAGTCCGAGGACGCCTCAGAGGACGCCTCAGAGGACGCCTCAGAGGACGCCTCAGAGGACCCCTCAAACCCTCAGACGGAGGGGGCCTAAGCTCCCCAACCCCGATATGGACCGCTGGGTAGAGGAGCAGCAGCAGCTGGTCACTTCTAAACCTGTGTCCAGCACTGATGGTGTCACCATCTACTCTCACCATCAGGTACCCCTAAAAGCCTTCTCTTACCACTAAATCACACATAACACATCCCATAGTGTGCATTCCCCTTTTAATGAGCTATATGGGTAAAGTACGTCTTTACGGGTGCACCTGTCAGCAAAGCAATGATTCATAGTGCCTAATCAGACCCTATTTAGATCCCATGGCTGAGGAGGACGTTGTTTAAAAGTACTTTTGCTAATGGAATGGAATTGGGTCATGATTTACCCCTGTCATAAAAGCCAGCCAGTGAAAAAGCACTTGTGATCAATAGGGGGATGGTGATATTTAAGAGGCTGGCTGGTGAAATATGCATTACTGTGATGGAAGCCACACTAGATTGAGCCCACCTTCCCCAAAGTCCCCAGTGAAAAAGGTTATAAGCCCCTACGATATGTGTGAGAGTGTTTTAGATGTTTAAAATGTTATAGGTTCAGCTTTGGTGGGTTTTCACTCCTGGTCCAGATGGACAAAAGGTAAATATAAAAATCCTACCTTTGATGTACTGCTTGAAGATATCGTGTGACCTGGTTGATTAATTAGCTCACTGATAAAATCTTTGTTGATAGAGCCAACAAAATCTGCGACTTGTTTCAAAAATGACTAAGAATTTCAAGTGGTAAAGCTACCATTATCAACATGTGGTCTGTCAGAGCAAAAAAGCTAGACAGGCATAGCAGCAGTGACTGAAGGGCGTTAGGCTTAGCGAATGGTCAATTGGACTGACATAGTCTCGAGAGCAATATTGTAATTAACCTGTTATTCCTAATCGACTTGTCTAATCAAATTTAACAATAACAATGAAGCGTCTTACTCAAATGAAACTGTCCTGGGCTTTGCAAGGCTGTATGAGAGATTAGCCAAGCGGGTCCAGTATGAGAGCAGATCAATACAGGTTTATGCGACTGAGGTGAAATAATATGAGAGGAGTGAAAGTGGAGGAGGAGAGACGAGTTAGAAAGGAGGGAGGAGGGAAAATGGATGGGAGAGGAAGGGAAAGGGAAATGAAGTGTTTAAGATGGGAGGCAGGAGACTGGGGCGAAATGACAATTTAAAGAGATGGAGAGGAGGGCGGGAGAGGAGAGGAGAAAACAAGAGATAATAAAAGACTGCATGAGAACAAATGAAGAGAGAAATCAGAGCAGAGAGAGTGAGAAAGTGATGCTAAAAAAGGTTATGATCTGAGTCAACAGGAAGACAGGAGGAGGGATGGGGGAGTATACCTACACACGGTCCATATTACCATCGGCTACATATATTACCTTAGCCCTGTCTTTATCCTCCTCCCAGTCTCCTTCCAAACCAACCACGACAGCGGTTCTTCTATGGCTAATTGGCAGTTTATGGTCGGACATTAAAAGAAATCGAGCTGACGTTGTTATCTTGCCATTGATGGGACGTGGAGCTTGAGAGTGGAACATGAGAGCACTGTAATACAGAGATGCTGGCTCTGTGGCCCGCAGCGAGGCTCGGTGACTTCATGTTGAGCAGTAGCAAATGCATGCTGAATAGGTCATCATGTTGCACACACACGGTACAGCTACAAATGAGTGCAAGACACAAACCTTGGAGCTACAGCTGTGTAAATGTTGGAGTTGTTTTACATAAGGCTGCTTGACCGAGGATGTGTGTGTGTGTCAGAGGCAGTGACCGTATGTTTACTGCACCTCTCCAACACGGAGTCATGTTTTGAAGTTAGATAGCAGTCACTATAGCCATCATAAACCATTCCTCACACTCCACATGCAGCTAGCTAGAGCCGTAATATGTGGTGTATGTTTAACCCACTGTGCTCCCAGCCTAGATGTCCTACTTAGACAGACGCACCCTACACGTGTCCCCAGAGTAATTCCCGTGATAATAGCCCCTTTTGGAGTGGGTGCAGGAGTGCAATTACAGATTTGGATTTTTATAATGAGCTTTCTTCCCTAGCAGGCTGCAGATGATGCTGCACTGGGCTGTGGTGACGCCGGGACCGTACAGACTAGCTCAAAGATCCCTCACATATCCAGAGTGGTGAACATTGCCAACACTGCTGCTATGTCCCTTATAGCAAGGTAAATATATATAAATATATATATTGATATTAAAACAGCGTTGGTGTGTGTAAAAAAATTTGTTTTATCTGCAGCATGTCTATACTGTTTGCACCATAAGTTTCAGTGGTGTGACATGCCACCCCCCGTCTTCCCCTGCAGGGCAGTCGAGAAACTCAACCTGATATCGAGGAAAAAAGGCCAGGCTTCTGATCCAGCTCCCGCTCATCTCTCCACCTGCTTCAGGGAGATGATCCAGAAAAACCCACCGCCTGTCCCCTCCTGCCTGCTCCAAGCTGCCACTAGAACCAAAGACTCGCCCAATGTTGGCAAGGTAGACCATAGGGTTTCAGATTCCTGTAGATTTACAGTGATCCACATTTGGTTTGGATGTAATTTGGTTATAAATCCATGGTGATTATAATGAAAATTGTATGAATGATAAATTGTAAAACGAATTTCAAGCACTCATACAATTATACAAATTGGTCAGACTGGGACAGTCCAATTACAGATCATTATTATAGTATTTGCAATAGTTCATCATCAGTGATTGATTTACTGACATCAATCTTCATACACAGTGCAAAGCTGTCTTCACATTATATCAGAATCAGAATCAGCTTTATTTGCCACGTGTGTGTACACATACGAGCAATTTGACTCAGGATTGTATATTGCTCACGATGTGCTTACTTATACAATAATAATACAATAATAAAATCATACACAGGCTACAGTATAGAGAACACATATATACACAGTAAAAATAAAAACAATATAGACAGATTGAGACAATAATGCAATGAGCTGAGTGCAAAGGATGCAGGAGTAAAATTATTATCATTATTATGTACATGTCGGAGGTACACATACACATACATACATACATGTACACATGTACACATTGCGATGGAGCACGGTGCTAAGAGGCAGAGTTACTGGGTTATTGCACAAATGTTGTTCCTGACATTGTGGGTCAGAAATCTGCTGTTCCTCGGAAGAAACTCGCAAGTCTGTTGGTTTTGGTGTCCGGGGTGAGATGGATCTGCAGTGATGTCTCCTGCCCGTTTCCTGACTCTGGAAATGTGTAAGTCTTGAATGGAGGGCAGGTTGGCACCGACGTTCTTTTCTGCAGTCCTGACTGTCTGTTGTAGTCTGCTCCTGTCCTTTTTGGTGGCAGATCCAAACCAGACAGTGATGGACGTGCAGAGGACAGACTGGATGATGGCTGTGTAGAAATGGATCAGCCGCTCCTTAGGCAGGTTGAGCTTCCTGAGCTGGCGCAGGAACATCCTTTGCTGGGCATTCTTGATGATGGTGTCAGTGTTGGGCTCCCACTTTATATATTATATTTATATATTATAGTGTGTGCTGCTTTGTTCAGCACAGGATTATTGGGACGAAGTTGGATGGTCTGTAGGAGATAACTTTAAAAATATTAAATCCTTGAAGGAAATGTTTGATATTTTGGGAAATACACTTATTAATTTTCATGCTGAGAGCAAGATGAGAAGATTTATACCACTCCCATGTCTGTACAGTAAGTACGGGGGTGGTGATGGCGCATAGATGAGATGGTTGCCTTTGGTGTGGGAGACCTGGGTTTGATTCCCACTGTGAAACATCCACCATTGTGTCCCTGAGCCAGAAACTTAACCCCTAGTTGCTCCAGAGGCATGGGACCTCTGAGATGCACAGCAATTGTAAGTCGCTTTGGATAAAAGTGTCAGCTAAATTAATAAATGTAATGTAAATGTAATAAAGCTACAGTACCCAGTAGCAAATTAGTGTAGTTTAGCATGAAAACTGTAGAGGAAGCATCATGTAATCCACATAAATCCACTGGCTTTTACATTTCGTGTTTGTTTGTGGATTAAACACATGAAATAATATATGCTTATTAGAATATTTTATATATTAGAAATTTTTTAACTTTGGACAGAATGAGGTTAGATAGTTTGCCCTGCTCTTAGTCTTTATGCCAAGCTAATCTCCTACTGTCTCATATTTAGTGTACAGACATCTCTTGGCAAGACAGTGAATAAGCATATTGCCCAAAATGTCCTACTATTCTTTGTTTCAATGGATGTAGCTATTTGAGAGGTGTTAAAACCAACCATCTGTTCAGGTGAAATTTCTTTTTTCCAAGCTACAGTGTCACTTGAACAGCGTTTCTGTAACAAACCCAAAAAATGACATTAACATTAAGAGCACTGTGGTTTGCCTCCAGCATTCTTTTTTTGTTTGTTTGGTCTATAATAAATGATTTTATTGTTAATGGTATGATTAATGCATTTATTACCATATAGTTATGCTCAGAAACACCCCATCTTCATTTATCTTCAATCATTAATCACAGCACAAGTATTAGCCTTCAGCCATTAACTGCAGTCACGAATTTCAGTGCAGCTTGGGGTCAAAGTTCAACAAATTTGAACTCAAACTGACTCTGTTTGGCTCTTTGCGGCACATCACATACCAAGTGCAGGACAGTTGCAAGGACATACACCACATGCTCTATAATGTGTGTTGTAAAGAAATATATAACATGCATTATCCACACTTTACAAATACTTTGCATATTGTAATATTAATTTAAAGTGAAAATATACAACAAGTGTACATGTAATATCAGAAGACACTGATGAACATCCTGTATAACTTGAGCCACTTTGTATCTTATATGCAGTGTAAGTGTAAATACCATAGACTCTAGGTAAATACATAGGTCTGGACTGGTGGTGAATCTGTGAAAGTACATACTATCCTCCCCCTCGACCACAACCTTGGAAGTGTTTTTACCACCCATGTTGCAGAGTAAAGAGCTCATCGTCAATTTGGAGGAGATCCTATATCACCCCTTCTTTTTGATACACTGTAATGTGGTGCTAATGTCTCCATCTTGTTCCTCCCGTCCTCTGAGAGAAACTGGGGAGATCGATATGGCTGCCTGCCCTCCCCTTGTCTCAGATAGATGGACTCTTGGGTTTGGTCTAGAGTTACAGATAAGGGCTCAGACAGACCCCACCACCAGCCACACCTGCCCGAGCACTCAGCTCTGTGTGCCTTTGCGTGCCAAAATATAGATGTGTGTGAGAGCGGAGAAGGATTTTCTCCGCTTGTAAATGGGTCTCTTGAATAATTTAACCGTCATAAATAGAGTTTGACACATGTTCAATAGGGTTAGGGAGCCACCTCTTGCATAAGATATTAGAATTATGAAGAGGGGAGAGGGAAAAAAATCCTTTACAGTCACTGGTAACTTATCATGTGGCAGATGGAAAATGGCTTTCAGATTTTCAAGTTGTCGATGACGGATGATGTCATTGTGGTGTAATGCAGCCTGGACAATTTCAAGAAAACCACATTCGATTGGGTGTCAAGGCATACAGGGCTACTTGCAATCTTGCAGACATGAACCCTGATTAAGCAAAATTTTATAATTGGTTTATAAACCATAATAGAGCTTATTGTTTTTGTGAGGTAAATGTTGCCTTGTCTTCTCACAGATTAAGACTTATGAGCCTTGTCAAATGGCTGTCAGAGTCAGGATCTAACTTAATTTAAGACCTTAAAGCCTGTAAATCCTAAGGCTTCCTGTAGAGAGCTGCATTAAGGAATTAATGTCATGACATGCGGAAATATAGCAGGAGGTATGCATAACCATGCAGTTGTAAGTGCATGTATGTTTTCTGTACTAACTGGATCAACTGTCTGTCTACTGCAGCCTAAACTTAGTTTTTTATCTCAATTTAACATTAAACAACATAGGCGACTGCTCCTTTTTTCAGTTTCAGTTGATGGCTAGAAGCAAAACAACAGATTACCAGATATGCTAAAGGGAACAACTTTGCCTCTCTGAAGAAATGTCAGTTGGAAACATTTACAACAGTATTTACAAGTACACTATCCCAAAGCTCAAACCTAATCCTTTTTGACATTTACTTTTCTTTGCCTAGGCTTCCCTTTTTCAACATTCTCGCAATGTACGTTGCATAAAATAGTATCTTTCCTCCAATGGCTAAGCAGCAGAGGCTGCAGAAATCTGACAATTATTTCCCTCTCTCACAGCTACATTTGATGTCAGGCTCCTGAGTTAAAACCCCTGTATGGTAAACCACTCTTCAAAAGCAATGTATAAATTAAAGTAAAACAGTAAAACTGACAACATAACACAGCCAATTTGAAGATTTTGTGGCATAAATACAGTATATATATTAGAGTTTTCTCACAGTGTTCTCAGATTTCAGAATGCTAAAACTTGCTGAATTTGATATAAAGATATTTTTGAACCTCATTCTCTTTTCATCAGTTTCCATGTACTGCTGGTATTATTTCTGAGTTACATATTTGCTGCTCACAGGCTTCTTCTGAAATCACATATGTTGTTCTGTTAAACAGCACTCACTGCTTGCATTTAATAAATAATGCAGTTTCCTTTTCAAGGTGTCTCAGTAGTTTTAAATGTTTAGCACTTTCCTGCATATTTATACAGTATGTGTATACAGTATGTGTACAGGGGTAAGTGAAGTAATAGTGTTCACTCAACCCTTTAAAAAGGCATTTAATCTCTCACCCTGTAGCTGCTCACTAGTTAATAACCAGCTAATGCTGGCTTAGCATTAGCTGGGTGCGCTATTATGCTAGTTGTAGTAAGCTATAACAGAATCGTATTTGTCTTGGTAGACTGAACAGTGCCAAATTATTTTTCAGAGTGTTTAATTTATTTTAGAGTGTCATACAATGTATTGGACAAATACATGTTTTTTTTTTTGATTATGACATTTACATTTATTCATTTAGCTGACACTTTTGTCCAAACTGACTTACAATTGCTATATATGTCTGAGGTTGCACGCCTCTGGAGCAACTAGGGGTTAAGTGTCTTGCTCTGGGAGACATTGGTGCATGGATCACAGTGGGGAGTTGAACCCAGGTCTCTCACACCAAAAGCAGGCATCTTATCCATTGCGCCATCACCACTCCAACACGAAATGAAAAGCTGATGGTCCAACAAAGATATGACAAATACGGCAATCCATCTAATAGTTGTTGAGACATTTCAGACTGGACCAAAGAGGTAGAACAACAGACAGACACCACTAGAGCCATGAATGTCTACCCCGTCAAATAAAACATTTCAGTGGATATTCAACAGTTCATAGCATACTGTCATTTTCAACATGCTTCCATCTCCCTCGTTGTATGTACAGGTCAAAGTCATACTGAGGGTGAGCCCAACGCTGTCAGAGGGCCAAAACCAACCACCTGTTCTTCGGATTGACCCGTCGAAGAAAAGAGTCACCATAATGGAACCAGTCAGCAAAAGCCAACCATACTCTACGATGACACTGGGCAGGGATGGCAAGAATCTTCTGAAGACCTTCAACTTTGAAGCTGCCTATCCTCAAGAGTCAAGCCAGGTTTGGTTCTTCATCCTGATGAACTTCTGAACATAATTCAAATATGTTTTTAAATGTTTCCATATGTGCTTGCTTTATACTGACCTATCTAGAGGGATTTGTTTTATACTTACAGATGCTTTGATAGTGTCACATTAGTCTGGCGCATTCTCTGTTTTCTCAAGTATTCAATGCATATTTTCCCCTCTGTACACTACACACCACGGTTGGTTTGCTCTCTCTGTCTGATGAGCTGGAAACTGATAGGGCTTGGATAGCCACCACAATTACACAGTCCCTCAGTTATATTCAACTGTCTCCACTCTCTGCTTACAGTATCTGAGCCCAAGGGAATCTAACAGAATTAGTATGCATCCCTCCTCTGCTTCAGTGCTTTTCGTTTCATTGTACTTTTTCTGCGCAGAGTTGAATCATAAGATGCTCGCTCTCCTTTGTTCTCTCTGACCAGGCCGAGGTGTGTGCAGGCGTCTTGGCTGATGTCATCCGCTGCGTGCTCAGCGGCAGCGATGGATGTGTTCTGGGTTTGGGATGTGCTGATGTGGGTGAGTAATCGGTCGCTGTGAAAGGCCACGGGTTAAAATCTTAAGATGAGAGTCGGACGCTTTTATCTGTGCTCAGAGGCCACCCCCCCCCCCCCCCTTCCTGCTTCTCTGTCCCATTCCTGCTATCATTCACTCTTGCTCTATCACTTAAACTCCCTGTCTCCATTTTCTCTCTCTGTCCTCTTATCAATCTTGATACACATTTCCAGCCTCCTTGTTTTTTTGCGTTCTCCCCTGCTCCATTTGTCTTTCTCTGTTTTCCTTTTTTCCCACAGTATTGCCAGAAAAGTGTTGCGATTGCAACTCTCTGTCATTCCTCTTTCACCTATGACTTTGTAAATAAAAGCCTCTTCATCAATTATACAACAGGTATACTTTTTTAAAAGCTTCCCTTTGCCTGATAGGCATGTCAGCATACTACACAAAAAAGACACAAATATTTCATTTTATTTTGCTGAAGCGCTGAGCTCAGAGGGGACTGTAAACAAAATGGACTGTAATACGTTGCTATTAGAGAGATGGAACCCTGCACTTAGCGTCGGTGAGGGGGTTTAATAGATTTGCGGCACAGACACACACACACACACACGCACACACACAGGGTAAGGACAGGGTCTCCTTGGAGCTGCTTTTTCACATGACGCCACTCTCCGTAAATCTGATTGAATTAGTTGGCCGATACAAACTACATGTGGCCCACAGCCAGGGGATATCAATCTTCTCCACAGAATACCATTCTCTCTGAATAACGGCAGGCAGCTTGGCCTTTAATTGGAGTAAATCAATTCTCTTCTCCTCATTCAATTAGAGTTTGGATAAGACAAGAACAGGTAAAACAGGACCATAACTCATAACTAATGTGGGGCAAAAGTACACTTGGAAATACAATATGGCACCAGTCCATAAGAAAATCTGAATGTTTTTGTGGGTATGTTTCTGTAAAACTGCTCTGTGTTTTTTGGTCAGTTTTGTGAGTTTATATATTGTGTCTTTTGATGTCTGTAAGCTAGTGCATTAGCTTGGACCATATACCCATGTGTTTAAAGGCTAACATGTGCATATATATGTACTATATGTTTTTGTGTCTATATAGCATGCATACATCTGTGTGCTCTGTTAACTACCTCAGGCTCCTGGTCCAGCATGGTGGGGAGTAGTGAGGGCATCCAGAAGCTCGGGCTTATTCCCTGTGCCATCTCCTGGCTGTACAGTGCCATCGAGCGGCGGAGGGAGAAGACCTGGACTGATTTGACTGTATCAGTATCTGCTGTTGAGCTCTGCTGCGGAGAGGATGACACGCTGAGGGATCTGCTGGGGGAGGTCATCCCCTCAGTAGGCGGTATCCAGGACAGCCCAAAAGCCCATATTAGACTCCAAGAGGACCCTATCTACGGGATGCAGGTAGAAGGAAAAGTGTTTTTATTAGGAAAAAGGGGTCTTGATAAATAAACTTGTTAAATAAAAGTCCGGTGCTCTGTCTAAACACTAGGATACAATGGTCCAAAATCAGCCATAAAACCAAATAAAAATGTAAAACGTGAGTTATTGGTATGATTATGTACAGTCTAATCAATCCTATTCAAATACAAAACCAAATCTGGAAAGTAACAATTCCTTGGCTCCGCTTCACTGGCAATGCATCAAAGACTTAATTTGAATATATACTAATAAGCATTATTTTACAGTTGCTTTAACAGCTGAGAACCAGAAAATTGTTTTTTCATTGCCCACAAACCAATTGTTTCATTTATTTTCAGTAGGAGGTCTTAGTGATATTATAGATAATGTTTGAGATTTCTTGTTTGGGATGCCTCCAAGCCAGATTTTAGGCTTTGCCCACTAGATATGGTTAGATTAATGATGAGTCAGTTTGGATAATGGTCTACACTGTACGTGACAAGACAATACTGTGAGTGAAACCTATTAGTTTGCATAAATGATTATACCTAACTGCATCATGATTGTGCAGCTGTCTCCTCCCTCGCACTGTTTTTTGTCAATTGCCAGCAAGGATCTCCCAGTGTATTTCTCTCTATTTCTTCATTGAATACTAAAATGAAACTTACTGTATGAATGGAGCAGTCAATTTACCATAAACACTAGAAATCTCTAAGAAAGTACAAATGTCTGCTAACAATAAGAGGGCCTCCAGATCCTCATTAAAACATACAGTGACAGACAATAGTGGCGGATTGACAGACAAAACGGCAAGTCATCCGGCAGATGTTTTTTTATTGAAGTACTTTATGAGAAGATTCTTTCCACATGAGATTTTATGACTATCTTCTCCCCTCCATCCAGCTACGTAACCACAACCGGGTGAAGGCTCCCACTGCTGAGCGGGCTGCTGCCCTCCTGGACGCGGCCATTGCAGCGCGTCGGCACAGTGACTTCGTTACATACCTGTCCCACAGCTCTATAATGTTCTTCACTCTCCATGTCCAGCCCCCTCGCACAGAAAGCAGCACCATTGGGAAAGGTTGTTATGAATTCAAATCCTAGGGTGGCTTGTCTGTAGTGAATTATGTTTTTCCCCATGAATGTTTTTTCCACAATTAACCCTAAATTCACTGCTGATTTAATGCAATTTGATATACATTATTTATGTATATTATAATTCACGAGTTCTTTATTTGTACATTTGAAAACATGAAAAGCTTTTTGCATTTACAATCGGCTCTTGTGATTTCCATCCTTAGGTTCACGTGGCCCCACTAAGTTGACCATGATTGATGTGTGTAGTGGTATGAGGGGTATGAGCAAAAATAAACCTCCATATTCAGAACTGGGTCCTGTTGTCTTGTCTCTTCTAAGTGGACATAAAACCACCCACAACAAGTAAGAATGTTACTCCAAAATATTATTAGTGTAAACATTTTGGCATACTTTGTTGTGGAGTCTTTTGCATCTTACTGGTGGTCTTGTAACTTGGTTTCCATAGATGGTCAGATTTTTGCATATAAACCCATTTTATACTTGCTGAAAAGCTAAGGGAATACAATAAAAGCTACATGAACATTTGACTGCTTGGAGATTAAATTGAATGATGCATCCTTTGAGTTAATGTCTGACATTTGCACTGTCTCTGCATAGGGTTAGTAAGTTGACTATGCTCCTTCGAGAGTCCCTGGGCCATGTAAATTGCCATACCACAGTGATCGCTCAGGTTGCTGATTCACTGGCACACCTTCAAGAGACCTTCTCCACTATTCAGCTGGCTGCTCACATCCGCAGGACACAGAAGAGGACGAAGGTACCGTACATGCCCTGTAATGTCTTTCTACCGATTTACCACCTTTTATTAGCATCACAATGTTGGTGCCCTCTTTGTAAAGGAAGTGAGAGTCGGTTTGTTTTTAAACTTACTGTAGCCTTACCACTTGATTGTTTACCCCCAATGGTTTTTTCATTGATTTATGTTTTGGATAGTCCAGTACTAGAACTAACTCCACAATTTATTCTTATTCGACAGCAATCCACCTCATGTTCTCCTTGCGGGAGGAGTTTGACTAAAGATTATGGGCCTCAGTCTTTGTCCCTGCGGGCATTCCACTCCACCGATGAGATTGATGTTGACACCCCTCGCTTCTGTTTGCGTGGTGAACTGGATGAGCGCTCCAGCAGTGACCAGTCCTGTGACACAGTCATCCAGCTTGACTCACATGGCTTGGTCAAGTCCAAAGCAACCTCAATACTGGCTCAACCTGAATTTGTGCCCATCATACCCTCTTTGCATCCGAACAAGGCTGACATGGAGGACCCCGAGTTTACCGCTCTGCTCCAAGAGCTTCTGAGAATTCCTCAGCTGCAGGGAGAGAAGAAGAACGAGGAAGCTGTTCAAGGGAATATTGAAGTACCGAAAGCAGACACGAAGGGGCCAGAGAGGGACTGTCTTAAATGTGACACATTTGCTGAACTTCAAGAGCGTTTGGGCTGTATTGATGGAAGTGAGACATCAACAGATGTGCTCAAGCCAAAAGGGCCTTCTGTTAACAATGCCACACCCAAATCACAACCACAGAAAGGAATGGGGAAACAGACAGACACAGATTCATCAGAAACACCACAGATGCTGTTGAATCAGGGGTTAGGCTGCAGTCAGACCTCTGTCGGAGAAAAACAAACAGATGGTGCCTTCCCTGGAGACAGTTTTCAGAGAGAGGATTCAGGTCTGTATGACTGTGAGGAGTGTAGCGCAACCAGTTCCAGTGAGGAACTGCTGAATCAAACTCTCAGTCTTAACATGACCCGTCACTCTGAGCTGCCCAAAAATGGAACTCTTAAGTCAGATGCTCAGGACTTTGATGTGAATGCTCAGGGCTTGCCCGAAACCAATTCCCTTGCACTTCAGCGTAAAGGGCAACAGGAGAGTCCTGAGGCTGCTGATTGGTTCAAACAAGGCAAAAGGACCTCACCAGTTGGCAAGAGCTCCCCCATATCTCCTTCGGCCTCCTGCTCCTCTTCACACTCCACAGCTACCAGTGTTATACTTGGAGATGCCTTACCTAATCGCCCCACCGAGGACATTGAGGAAATGAAAGCCACTATCACAGTAACTGTTCAACAGCCACTGGACCTAAAAGGTCATGATGAACTTGTCTTCTCTATGGTGGAGGAGGTGACCATCAGTGGTGCATTAAACAGAGGGAGAACAGGAGGAAACATTATTTGTATTGGAGACACTGCCCAATCACAAGCACGTGTTCAAGGCTTTGCCAGCTCTCATCCAATCAGGATAATCAGCAATGTCAGTGAAGAACCTGTAGCTGCAGGCTCCTCTAACACAAACCAAAGCTCTGTAGTTCAATCCATAGCTACAGAGGCTACCACTGAAAAACTCCAGTATCAGTTCAGAAGGGAAAAGAGGTTCTTACCTTCATTTATAAATCCCATGCTGATAAATACAGATATGGCTTGTGAGTTGGAAGGTGCAAAAGAAAAAGAAAATCCTCCTGATACTTTTACAGGAGTCACATCACAGGCTGAGCACAGAGTAACTAATGTCAGATGTCCTGAAGATAGAAATGCTCTTGAGAAGAGAAATGGGACTTTTGCTTCTGAGACACATGCCAAAAGGTCTGACAAAGTATGTGACTCACTTTTTAGCCACATTTCTTATGACCCAATGATTTTAGAAGATTCAGCTTTCTGTGATGAAGCTGCAGAAAACAAAAGGTGTGGTAAGAGACCGAGAAATACAGACAACAGCCACCCTAGAGACAGGGAGCATGTTTATTCCACTAACACTCCAAGGGGTTCAGAGGGTGGAGAAATCGGTTCCAGACGTGTTGGGAATGCCCCCAAGAGAATTGGTGTTTCACCTGGTTGCCAAGAAACCGCCCCTGCTTTCTTTAAAACAGGTAGTTTGCCTAGAGCCTGGCAAAATGCCAACTACCAGGACAGCTACAATTGCGGTCACATGGCTGAAGACCACAGAGACCCAAGGGGGGTGACATCATCTACCCCTTGTAGCCCAAGGGTAACTCTTGAGAGGAGGCAGGGCAGACAGCACTCCCCAACAAACCACAGCCCCCATGTCTCCTCTCCTCAGAAATATGGAACAGAGTACAAACAGCATGCTAGTAGTACTCCCAGAAAAGGAACTGAATCTTTGTTTGAGACCTCAAGTCTAAGAATGAAACACGATCATATGAATGGGAGACTGAAGTCACCCATTGAGGACAGTAGCAGGCTTTTCAGTGCCAAACTGGAGCAGCTGGCTACCAGGACCAATTCCCTCGGGAGATCCCCAAGGGACTTCCCAGCTCTGGATAGAGGCAGTAGTAACACCTCCATGAGCTCTAAGGGGAGCTCCAAGGGAAGTTTTGAAGGGACTTGTAAGGGAGGTTATAAAGGAAATAACGAGGGAGATTGTACCTTATCAAGGGCTAGCAGGAGCCCGAGGAAGAATCCTCGGGCTGACCAGAGTCATCACTTCTTTCCTTCTCAAAGCCCTGTAACTCAATCTGCCAGACATATCCATTCCAAGCTCTCTGCTGTGGGGAAACTTAAGATGGCTAGCCCCAAAGTCCGTCGACTGTCTGCCCCCAGCATCAAGAACCTCAGTCTCCCTCACAAAAGCCTCCGGCAGTCCATCAACCGCAGCGCTAGTCTTTCCCCAGATGGTAAAACTGTTAGCTTTGAGCGAACATCCTCATTCCTCTCCTCGTCCCCTCCACGGTCTTTTCACTCCATCAGTCGCACTCCGAGCCAGAGCTCCACATGCTCATCCACAAAATCTGCAATCCAGGGTTTTGTCAATGGCCGGATCTCAGACCTCCTTAAGGAAAGGGCCTCTAGCCCCACTTCTGGAGGACTGGACCAAATGACAACACTTCCCTCGCCGTACAGCTGTGTGACTGCTCCCCGCATGCCTGATCACCAGAGTGGGCACGCAAGTGACACCACAAGTGTGTTGAGTGGAGATCTGCCACCAGCTATGGGGAAGACATCCCTGCATTTCTCTAACAGGAACAGCATGGTGAGCAGTGGATATGACAGCATGGTGAGGGACAGTGAAGCCACAGGCAGCAGCACCTCAAACAGAGATTCTGTCAGCGACAGGAGCGGCTCTCTCCTCAGTGTGGCTTGCAGCAGCCGATCATCTCGGAGGAGAGGTAACACAGGTAAAATACCTGGAATAATTGGCTTTTTATGAACTAAACTGGATGACTTTCTCTTCTGGAAAGATCAGAACCTAATCCAAGTGCTCAGTGTGTTATTGGTGTTGGGTGTTAGTGCTGCAAGTGTAGTCTCAAAAAAGTCTAAAGTTAGCATGCATGTTGAGCTTAATCATAACCTGCAATGACCATTTCAGATTCATTCATATATTTTCCTTCTCTCAAAGCAACCACTCATTTCTGTTAATTTTAGTACAGTATGATTATCACCTGGCAGATATTTTAAAGAGGTCATATTATGCTCATTTTCAGGTTCAAAATCTAATTTAGAGGTTGTACCAGAACAGGTTTACATGGTTTCATTATTTTCATTTTTTCATACTGCACATTTCTGCAGCTACTCTTTTCACCCAATGTGTTGAAGGCTTTATTTTAGCAATGGAGTGGTACATCTTACCGCTACAAGACTTTGGTAGGAGTTGTACATGCGCAGTTCCTAGGTAAGGACTACTAGCCAATCAGAAGCAGAGTAGGGCGGGTCCCCTTAGCAGCTTAGCAACATGGACTGGAGCAAGAGTTTCAGAGTGGTGACTTATTAATTTGTAACAAATGTATCTTTTATTCATAAAGTTTTAACTGAGCTCTGTCTCTACATCACAGGAACAACTTTATGTCCATTAACTGCCGGGATGGTAGCTATTGTTTGGAAGGGAGAAGGGAAGTGTGTGCTACAGCTCAGTGTTTTCCCACCGGTGTTTTTGAGGGCGTGTCTGACTAGCTGCTAGACGAGCATTATGACCCGTGTTTTGCTGTTACTTCACAAGAAAGCGGAAGAAAAGACTGGACTATAATCAAGCTTTTTTCAGGCAGTTCAGATCAGAGTTTTCTGTGGGAAATTGGAACACTCTTTGGGGTGGACCTTGGGCTTTTTCACTTTGCAAACCTATTACATGCACAAAAAAGAAATAAAGTCAATAAAGGAGAGGGAAAAAGCCAAAAAGCATAATATGACCTCTTTAATGTATGCCATGTTTTCTTTTACTTTTGTCAATTTTATTGTTGTTGCATTGGAATGTCCCAATGGTGTCCTGGCAAATTCACACCAATCCAATTAAATAAATTAAATTCAATAGTAAAATTGTCAAGTGCTGAATCATATTTCATTTTAAAAACTGTCTTGTGAATCCTTTGAAAGAAAGAAAAGTAAATACATTTTTACATCTGAGAAATTTTGAATACATCTGCTATATCATTTCTTCTGCTCTAGAACAATTTCCAAACCATAAACAACAATTTAAATTTTTATGAATGATAGTTCCACCATCATATTTTATGGTTTGCAATATGACCATATAAAATATTAATGTGACATTAATTGAAGATGGCACCCATCTGTAGAATGGAGTCGGACCTAGTTTCCTTACTGACATTAAAAGCCTAATTGTGTAGGAGGTCACATCATTAATATATGAACCCAGGGAAGACACTTTCTAAAGGCAGCACAAATGCAGAAAATGGAAAGTGTTTGGCCGATACAGCAAATTATAAAGATGGGCATTTGCATACTAACAACACTTTATAATGGATATACACTGAGAAAATAGAGTTTTGTTGAAAGTATGGCTAACACAGTAAAAACTGCTAATGGAGTAATTAAAACAGGAGACAAAGCTTTTGCTGGGCATATGAATTTTAAATCCTCAAGAATAATCTACTGGTAATTTGATGATTCAATTCTGTCTGTGCTTAATTTCTCCTTAAGTGTCCCCTTAAGCAAGTAACTCGTCTACATTCTGATGAAAGCAGTATCCATATCAAAATATATTCTTAATGTCTTAGGATCCCAGTGACATAAAGCATTTTGTACTCTACTGGCAAACTCCGGCAATCCAGAGAGAGTTACAGAAATCGTGTCTTCTGTCTCGACAATTATGAATAATATGGTAACCCTGGCAAGCTGTGGTTGCCCTCAGGCAAACTGTTCCCCATAAGAGCACATGGGCTGGGCATTAAATGCCACAAGGGGACACACTCCTGAATCTGGAGAAGAGAAAGAAAACAAGTTGAGATACAGCATCTCACTGCACTTTCTGCCTCACCCTGCTGTAGGTACTCACCAGCGTCGTCTTTCTCATGATACACCCCTTTCCCTGAGACGCTCGGCTAGCGGTCTGCGTTCTCGCTGGGTGGATCGGGGAATTCCAGAGGCCTACGAGATCAAGGTCTATGAGATCGACAATGTGCAGAGGATGCAGAAAAGAGCAGGTGCTGGCAAACAGGTGCTGGGTTTATTTTGATTTTTTTAGGAGGTTAAAGGGCATTATGTAAAATATGACCTTTATCAACCTCTATTGGCAACAAGAAGGAATAGTAACTTTGGTAGAATGTATGTCCGCCCGACCTCTTTTCTCTAAAGCCTCTAGCCCTGTTCATCATAACACCGTCAACACCGTGTGAAAAAGAGCCCAAGTCATTTTGCAATAAAAGTCTCTCTAGCCGTCTTCTGAGTCGAAAGCTGGGTCCATTTTGGATCTCAGTTAGCAAAGTACCCTGATCGATTAAGCTCTGATGCTAACAAATCTCCTCTTAAATATTTTATCTATTCTCAGACTTTTTTATTAGCAAAGTGCAATGTAGAAAACATTTAGGTATCTTATCAAGTTTCTCTTTTTCGTCAGTTACTGAAGTGAACACTTACTGTTTCACTGGTGATAAATGACAAACGCCACCGCCTGCAGAACATGTTAGCTTTAGCTAATTAAAAGGCAGTTAAGAAATATTCAGGTCTTTTTTGCGGCAAACAGCACAAGCCTACTGCAGCTTTTCAATACTTTCTATAAACCCGCATAATACAAGTGTTACCAGTTCTGTAAGCCTGTTAGTCAAACAACCTGTAAGCACAGCTCCAGTTTGTCTGGTTCAGTCACTTAGGGAAAATCTGGCTGGGGAAGTGGATGTCTGACACTCACCTGTTTCGCAATACCCTCTTTCACAGTGCTTTTGAGGAAGGCACAAAGACTGCAGTGGCCACAAATAAACACTGTGGTTGTGCTGGGCAGCTACCATGTTTCATGTGTGAATATAGTAGAATCAGCATGAAAAATAGCATGCTCAGTGATTTGACCCTAGGTAAGTAAAGCTTAAATAAAATATTCCAACTTGTAATTAGAGTTGAAATGTGCTTGAAAACAAAATGTGCTGCATGTGGTGACGTCATGTCCCCATGACGAGAGGTCTGGCCTCATGAGACTATTCCCCACCTCCACCAGTCTCAGGACCGGCACTTTGATACAATTTTAATGACCACATGGGGGGAAATTGGGTCAATGCCGCAGCAAAGGACAAAGAAGAACGCTGGAAGTAAAACAAATGCAAGTCATTGTTAGTAAAAGAGAAGAGATGTTTTTATAAAGAAATAGCACATATTGAGGAATAAAATACAAACAACAATAGAAAAGTTAAATAAAATAACAATTGTACTGTAGTAGAGCAGCACTCCATTCTTCATATTTAAAGGATTTCTTGGTTTCCCTTAAAAATATACACGTATTGACCTTCTCTTGACTGTCCCTTAAGCATAATAAGGTTAGTTTAATCAGAGAGGAGCTCTATTTAGTAGCCTACAGACCTGTCTTGTCTCACTGCCCAGAGTTGTCATCCCTGCCCGAACATGGTGTTTATGGGTGATTTTAGTCATTTTAATAAGAACAGTAAAGGTTAATGCTTTGGAAATTTTGTTCTGGAGAAAGTTTACCTTACTAATTTAAAATTAAAATACTACATTTTCACTAATGTTGTCTCACATCTTGGGGATGCTTCTGTTTATATTTGGCAGTCTGGGTAAAGTACTAGGTGCTGTGGGGTTTTCATTGGACAGAAATACTAAAGCTAGCTGGCATCACATATGAATGCACAACATTACAAATTATACTACAGGATTTATGTTTTTATTTAAAAAAGCAGTGGAAATGTGTGTGTGTGTGTGTGTGTGTGTGTGTGTGTGTGTGTCATGTTTTCAGGGGCCTGCATGCTTCAGCGCCAAGCTGAAGTTTTTGGAGCACCGTCAACAGAGGATGTCAGAGGTCCGAGTCAAATACAACAACCTGAGAAGAGAGCTAGAGCAGGCCAAACACAACCTTATGCTGGAGCCCGCCAAGTGGAACCAAGAGTGTAAGCATGCAAAATAATATTTGTATTTATTATGAAAATAAGTATAAATAAGTACAGTAAGTCAGTAAAGACCGATTGATTCAAATTTACTGTCACAGAAGCTTAAAGGGTTACTGTGTCATATTTAGGAGGATCACTTGACAAAAATGCAGTATAATATGTTTTCAGTGGTGTATAAAGACCTTACATAATGAACTGTTATGTTTTTATTACCTTAGAATGAGACATTTCTATCTACATACACCGCGGGTCACCCTTACATGGACGTTGCCATGTTACACCGCCATATTTCTACAGTAGCCTAAACGGACAAACTGCTCTACAGAGCATGTTTCGTCACTACATTGAATATGTACAAAGAAGAAGAAGAAGAAGAAGAAGAAGTGACGTTAGTAGTAGTAGTAGTAGTCGACTGGTTTATTAGAAGTAGGAAAAGCACTACACAGAAATTTGATTCATGCAAAATCAGGTATTATATATATACATATTTTGCAAACATGTCATTTGTAGTATGGTTGTAACGGTTAATTTGCTGTCCATGTAGAGTGAACTAGATGTCTCTGTGTGTTGTTTATATGCTCTGATAATGCTAATCCAACACATCTTTAGCTCCATGTTGATTCCACATTCTGACTTCAGAGCACATGAACACACACCGATATCAGAAGAACGACTTCACAACTCGGAAAATGGGACCATGAGCACATGAATGCACCGTGAGCTACTGGTTGCAATTCGCAATCCTCACCACTAGATGTCACTAAAGCTTACACATTCAACCTTTAACACAGGAATAAAACTAACTAATGAATATTACTAATGATTTATTTGATCAGTCAAATAGAATATTGTTTTGTCTATGAAATGATAAAAAACAAAGAAAGCTGAGCACTTTTTCTTGGGGCCCATTTTAACATCTTCAAATAGTTTATTTTGTCCAACCAATGGTCCAAATCCCAAATAATAAATCAACCAGCAGCACACACAGTGGAGGATATTGAACCAGATAATGGTTGCTTGAAAAATAACCATTAATAGATGATCAAAATAATTGCATATACATTTTGTTTATCGGTTGATTGATTAATTAATGAATTATGACAGCACATTGAGCAGCATCCTGTTCCATAACTAGTATTATCCTTAGCACTATTTGTAACGTCTTACTATAGCACATTATTTTTTTTACTCAGTACTGTTAGGTAAGAGTTTGTTCCAAAACATGCATACATACAAGTTTTCAAGAAATCTCAGCATCCTGTTAAGTATTTCCTAAAGTCATTGGTATTGATCCGTAACCCTGTCACACCCCACAGATATAGATAGTTAGGACTATGGGGCAGCAAATACAGCAAACAAAAAATCTAATTCCCCTTTAACCTCATTGTGATATTGTCAACATACGATCCCCTATACATTGGTCACACACTTTACCTCACCAGCTGCTTTAGTGTCACGTCTCTGTCTTCCTCCAGTCGACCTGTGGCAGACCTTCGCGGTGGACTCCCTGGAGCATCTGGAGGCTCTTGAAGTAGTGACAGCTCGGCTAGAGGACAGGCTCAACCTCTGCAAGGCCAATGTCATGATGGTCACCTGCTTTGATGCTGCCACCAGGAGACGGCATAAAAAGCGACGTCGAAAAACGCCAGAGCAGAGAGCCTTAAAGGGAATCTGAGTTGAATTATAGTGAGAATTGACACATGGGTAAATGAGGGCAACAGGGGGAGCACCCATCGCTTTTTCTCAGACGCTTATGTTTTATCTAGTACAGCTACCTACCTATCACTGATTTTTTTGGGATGATCAATTCAAAATGTGTACATATGCCACATACGTTAACTTAATGCACACTCTTTGTTCTCAACTACCACCTCTGGTCCCCTTGAATTAACCAGGTGCTACAGATTGGAGTTTTGTTCAATAACATCTGGCTTCGGAGGGAGGCCAATGGTCAGGGCCAGTGACAGAGCTACAGTCCAACAGGTATCTTTTTCCATATATATCGCATTATTCCCTTTTGTATATAGATTTTGGTGCTGAATACAAAAACTTTATGAAAATAAATGTGTGTAAACTGATATAAAAATGCTTCCAATGATTAAAAGGATGCTGGGTTGAGCCGATTATTTAGCAGGAGTCACAGCAATTTCTCAGTAAGATGTAAAAACAGCTACTGAACTGTCTGAACAGATGGATGAAGGACTGAAGGACGAGGTTTCAGTTCCTTCAAGTAAATGCCAACAGAAACACCATTGTGAATTTTCTACTCTCTTCATTGGAGGCCGGCCAGTGATCAATAAACCGGCTGCTAAAGCACATTAGTAAATGATTGGTGGCAGAATAAAAAATGTGGATTCTACTCTCAGTGTAATGGAGGAGTAATTACATTAAAGGAATAACGTCATTGTGTCTGAAGAGCCACGTGGTGAAGTCAGTGATCCAGTAATAGAGGATGGACTGATGCATAGTAATCAATGGACTTAGACGTACAGCGAAGACACACACACTCGATGTCTGTTTTGTGAATCCTATTAATCAGCATGTTGTACACATTACTGTGAATAAATGACCACAGCTCTCAGTGATTTTCTGTGTTTGTAGACATTGCAAACTGTGCATCCTATGATTTAGAAAATTAAAGTCCTTATGCAGTTCCTGCTCATGTTTCCATCCCATTTGTCTGTCTGTATGATAATAATCAGTGTGTGCATTTACTTTGTATGTATGCATGTTTGTGCAAGTGTGTGTCCATAGAGAGACATAGTGGAACTTCTTCTGTTATGTTATGTAATGCTGTATCTCAAGAACAGGGTGACTTTTCATGCGGTCCACAGCAAGTGGAAAGGTAATGAGAGCAAGCAGAGTTGAGCCCTAAAGCAGCCCAATTATAAAGTCAGACTCATTAGAGGAGGGAAAGAAAAAGCAGGCAACACACAGACATACAAATCACGCTTCTGTGCTTGACATTGCCTTTCCTCTCTTTCTGCTCCATTTCCATTTTTTAGCCTCATTTCAAGATACACAAACTTGAACGCATGAGTGAAAACCACAGTCTTGCATTCATGCTCTGTGTCGTCAGATTTATGAGGAATGGGGACAAACACTCCAGCACAATGTCCAAGGGTCATTTAAACCTGAATAACGCATGTCAGAGTATTTTAAATGTGGGGGAAAAAAACTGAAATGTAGAAAATGAAGTAATTTTCCCTATTTGGGGTACACAGCTTCTGGAAACACAAACTGAAGTTGCCTCAGCCAATTCAAACTTCTGAACATCAATTTTGGGATGAAGATGTGGGAACTACAACAATTTGAGTTTATATAAGGAAATTTTTGTCCTATTCATTTGTCAATTTTAAGGGAAATGTAGGAAAACAAGGGCTGTGCAAGTTCTTCCTCTGAGAAGTTTTGAATGTTAGCTAGTAATAGAAACTAAACGCCTTGTGAGAACTGCTTGTTAAAATAAATTTACAATCCATTCATTTTTACTTTTATGGTACCAACCCACATACATTTTTTTTTACAGTAAACATACATTAACAAGCTGTATTATTAACTGATTTTGTAAAATAGATAATTTATCAATATAGTAGCCTACACTCTTCTAATCCTTTCCAATGTCTATCAAATATATAGATGTAATGATATATATGGGAATACATACACTGAACAACGTATAAATGCAACACTTTTGTTTTTGTCCCCATTCATTCAAAGATCTAAGACTTTCTCTATGCACACAAAATATCTATTTCTCTCATTGTTCACAAATCTGTCAAAATCTGTTAGTGAGCACTTGTCCTTTGTCCTTTTCCACAGGTGTGCCTTAGGCTGGCCACAATAAAAGGCCACTCCAAAATGTGCAGTTCCATCACACAGCAGCTCATGATGAACGGGTGGCAGAAACAAAAATCTATAATTTTGTTCAGTGTATATAGAGCCTATTGTTATTACATCCTCAATTTTAATACATGATCTAGAAATGTTGTGTATTTGATAAGCAACATTTTAAACATGTTAAACCTAAACAATTGCTAAAACTAATCAAGAGATCAAGTCTCTTATCCAAGAATTTAAATCCCAAAAGCACTCTTTGTAGGCTACTTGTGGTGTGTGTGGAGCAGGAAAGTGCTTCGCCATTCTGTTGGTGTTGGTGTGTATCCTTGCAGGCTATTACTGAAGGTATATAGACTTAAATATTGAGTGCATGAAGAAAATGAAAGAGGGGGAGGAAGAGGAGGTGGAGCACTATTCAGTTAAGTTTTAGAACACATACCACAATTAGGTTATCATAATGACAACCTGACGTGTAGGCTACCTCAACAATCTGATAAGTGTAATGCATGTTCGCGTTTTCTATTGTGATTGTGTAACAGTAACAAAAGAACGCAAACACGTCGCAGATTTTCACGGTTTATCAGCTTAAACCCCCCCATCATAATCGTATGACCGCTTCATCTGCTTACATAACCGCTGGCACACAGACAGGAGCCAGTGTGACACATCTGCCAGAAGATGGCAGCCTCCGCCACGTGCTAAAATAAATAAATAAATAAACACGACGTGAAGAAATATATATTTTGCAATGAGGGGGAGCTGAAAAAAACCCGGATAGGACAGTAAACAAGAAGCATGAGAGAGTCTGAGAGACAGATGACAGAGTGAGGTGTATGTGGATCCTGCTGTGGGCTGACACGGAGCTGGACAAACACCGCGACGCTGATTCAGGGCGTTGATGTTCACGCGACGAACTGTGAGACATCATCCAGCGGTGAGTAGTGCCTACATCTCTCCATCCTGTGCTGTGCATTCCGTGTAGCCTAATGTTACATTAACTTAGCCTACATGAAACCTACAGGGAGGATTGGGTATGTTCTACTTTACCAAAAGGAACTATAACAACCATAGAAAGGATTTAAGGTGGATGTCGCAGCAAAAATAGGAAGTGCCGAATGTTACAAGAATATTTTAGGGGTAGGGGAAAACGCAATAAATTCGATAGCCGACTTCTCTCAAGCTATTGTAAGGATGATGTGTTTTTACCGTTAATGTCAATGTGACCGGTATGTGAAAAGTTAACAAGACGCATTGAAAACTGAGCAAGCAAGAAAAATAATTCAGCGCGAGGTGCACGAAAGCGTTAGCGGCACGCGCCTCCGATGCTCATGTTCACTTTGCTTTACGCAGGCACGTGCACACGCACGCACCCCAGCCACCCACGGGTGCGACATTTTTTAATCAACAGACCGGAAACTAATTGAGACCACTAGGCAGCCAACTGTTGAAACAATAGCAGAAGGAAACATTCTGCTTTTTACTGCAGTTACAATTCAGTTTTCAGTTTTCACATTTCGGGATACATTTTAATGATGGGTCGTGACTGGGAAGAGCAGAGTCTGACAGGGTTGTTACCAAGCTCGACTTAGTGAGCCACAGAGTCGCTAATGGTAGGCTGTTTGTTGAAGGAAGATAGCATAAATATATCAGGGATACTTACCAAATACATTAGCATTTTTCATCTCATGACTTAATGAATGTATTTGTGATACGTGGCAGTTTCACCAGTTTTTTTTTTTCACCTCATTTATTTCAGTGCCTTTTGAAACTAACTGTAAAACTTGCTTGAAGTAATCCGTTATGGTGAATAGCTGTCTGTTATTTTATTTTGATACACTTAATGTTGTATGGAATGTATGCTTTCATATGAAACCTGGAGCCAGCAGTCAGTAAGCTTAGCATATACTAGAAACAGGGGGAAACAGCTAGCCTACTCCAAGCATACTAAATAACATGTTAAATCTAATTTGTTTAATATGTACAAAAGCCAAAGTTTAAGAACAAATTGTGGTTTTATTGGGTGGTTATGTCCTGGACTGTTTCTTAGCTGAGTGGAGCAGCAGCCAGTTAAAAGTTTGTTTTATTTAGGAGTATCTATTGACAAAAAAATGCAATATAATATCCATAACTATGTTTTGAGTGGAGTATGAAGACCTTACATAATGAACCGTTGTGCTTATGTTTCCTTAGAATGAACATCTTTCTATCTACTAACCATCTGTTGGCACAGACATGAGCGTGGTATCGATCTTCTCACCTAACTCTCGGCAAGAAAGTTAATAAGCGTATTTCCCAAAATGTCAGCTGCTAACTGCCTGAAAGCTAGGAAATAAAGATTTTACCAGAATCACCTATTTTGAAAATGGTCAGCAGTAATGTTAAGTATATGTAAACTGTAGTAAATAGGCTGACAAAAATCCAAATAAGTTTGCCAAGTAGGATATTGATTTAGGAAAAAGGTGAAGGGCTTAAAACAGTAAAGTTTACATAGCATGTAGGAAGTCACAGGAGAAACCACACAATGTAAAAACAAACCCATGTGTTCATCTTTAGCCTCGCCTGCATCTTTCTTTATTTCACACTACGCATCCTATGAGTCAGTCACTGCTCCCAGCGTTTGTACTTTGTGTCACATTCCATGTTGCAGAATTCACAATGTTCATGAAGCAGAAAAATGTTTAGCTACAGCAGGTCAGCCATTGCCTATTCGAACCTCTACCACATGAGAGAGGACGGCATGTTTTTTGCAAAACTTGAGGACATTTGTGATATGGTTCCCACTGAGGAGGCTAAGACAGATGGACACAGGTGTTTACCTGTAGACTAAAAACAGGGAGCCTTCTCTGAAGCCATAATGGAAGGCGGGGAAAAGGAACTTTAAGTAAAAAACAAAAAGATAAAAGCACAACGCCTTGACAATTTTTATTTTGATATTTCTGGATAATAATTAGTTACACGGCTGGTTAGAGGTTAGAGCTTTTGTCAAAAGCCACTGGAACCCTATTGAACTTGCTGTGATATGACCTTAGTCAACAAACCTATTCCTTATCCTGCCAGGCATTGTTCATTGGGATAAAAACATCAACTAAGGGCCTGAAAATGGAGATGTTTACCTTCATTTACTCTCCTTCGTGAAATATGTGATGAAGTGTCTTGAGTTTGAAAGTTTACTTTCTACATCATTAGCTGCTGAAGTTGAGGGAGATATTTAAATAGAGGGCTTCTACAACATGCAGAGAAGACCAAGTCCAGTGGCTTTTATGATAATAATATTGAAAAATGAAATGATTAGCCTATGAATGATGTCTTCACAAGTGAGCCTTGAGGAAAGCTTTCTGCAGTTAACCTGTAGGGGTGAAATCCACTGCAATCTTTATTATTTTATTATATTATCAATAAGTCTGTTGTTTCTTTTTTTTATTAATCATTTAATCAGTAAAATAGCCTTTTTTCAGCCATGCTAGCTGCGTGGCTCTAGGGATGACAGTGTTGGTCTGTCAGTCACTTGGTCAGTCCACTGCGTTGGTCCTGACTGAAATATAGACTGAAACAAGTCTTTACAGCAAAGGGTTGTACAGATGTTCCCATAGGATGAATCATACGGACTTTAGTTATCCTGACTTTATCGCTTGTGCTGCCATGGAGTTTTGTCTGAAATGTCTTGACAACTATTGGATGGACTGTCATGGAAGTAGTCACAGACATGCATATGCCCCTCAGGATTAATTGTAATCACTTTTTTTAACCTTCCTCATCATTTGCCCCATACTTAGGTTTATTACCAAATACCTACAGAACCAATGACAGTCCCATCATCTAAACTGAAATGGTGAATGAGTAAACATCAAAGGTGCTGAACATCAACATGCAAGAATTGTCATTTGAGCAAGATAACATGCTAATGTTAGCATTTAGCTCAAAGCACTGCTTATACAGACCTACCTAGCATGGCTGTACATGCTAGGTAGGTCTTGTTTGTGACAAGGTCTGTCAGAAGGGCGTATTTCTACTTCTTTATAGTCCATGTAATTAGCATAAATCACATTCACAAATGCCTGTTGAATTAAATGAATAAATGACTAGACCCCAAGTTACATGTCCCACTTTATAGTTGAAATATACCACAGGGTTTTGGAACAAATGCTGGAAAACTGTTAACCCTCATTTATAAACCTCCCTGTCTGATAGAACAAAGTGCAAGAATTAATTATTGGTAGTATATAGTATGCAGTTTGTCTACACTGTACAGTAACACACTCATTGCTAATTATTCTACTCCACAAACTACTATGATGTTATTTTCAAACTGGGAGTTATTCAGAATGGAGCACTCTGCCATGCCTCAATGGGCATTCATGGTTTACACAAAGCCAACCCTTTCAGTATGTGACATAACTGCCATTTCATCAGCAATGCTGCTTCACTTTGCATTCTACTCTCTTCTTTCTCCCATTATGTGTCCTCTCCTCCTTAGGTCGTGCTGCATGCATGAGTCATACATTATCTTCTGTTTTTAAAATGTAATTTTTTTTGACAGCTTGCTGGGGTGAGTAAGAGAGACGAGTAAAAGCACAGTAAACCACACAGAGGACGGTGGAAAGTCTGCAAAAACTCTGAACATCATCCTCCACTACCCAGCCTTACCAGACTATGGTGGACATTTCAAATCTCCCTTTTCTTGACCACCCAGGAGAGTCGACGGAGGATTAAATCACATGAGGGATCACAAACCAAACCTGCTGAGACCTCATTCTCCAGTGCCTTCGAAGCCCTAGAGAAACTGTCCCAAGTAATTTGCTCATCTTGCTCAAAGGAAAAACTCTGTTAAAAGTCAGAAACAATTAATGTTTTCCTAGTGAGGGACTGAAAAGAAGAGACCCAGCCACTGTCCACAGGTCTCAGAGAAGCTTGCGGGGAAAGCCAACTTGGAGGAGAAGATCGCTGCAGTGACGGAGGGGATGGGTAACAAGAATGCCATCCCGCTGAAGGGTCCAGACACTGGGACTACACAGAAAGAGGAAGGGGAGTGCATGGACAGTGCCACAGGTAAAATACTTTTCTCCATCATAATTATATTAAATATCTGACTGCTATGTATTATTACATTTTATGTATTTGTTAGCTCAACAGGCTAATTTTCATCTGTTGTCCCTGGCCAAGGGGCAATTTAAAATAAAGAATTAAAATTAAATAAAATGACTTATTACAGTCCGCACATAATAGCGATATATACAGAATAATAATCAGACAGGTACAACGCATAACAATAAGTAACAAACATATTAGACAAAAAATAAAGAGAAAGAGAAAAAAAGAGAAAATGGCGCTATAAAATATACCACTCAGTACAGATCACATTTATAAACACAGGAGAGAGACACAGATGGAAGTCACATTATTCTGCAGAGAGCTGCTGATTGAAAGCGTTTCAGAACAACTCAAAGCTTCTCTATCTGTGGAACACAGATTTCCACAAACTTCTCTAGTTTATCGGATAAAACAAAGCTTAGGATGATCAGGATGATACTAAGCTGTAAGGAAGCCACAGCCAAAACTCTTGGATGATTGTAATTTACTGTAGGGCAGGAGCTGTTAAACTATATTATATAAGAGTTGCACTGTACAGCTATAGCTTATAGTGACTAATTGGCACAGTAATTGCTGCAGGCTGAGGTAAAAGCATGTTTGTCAGATAGTTTTCTACCATGTCTTCTGGGGCTGCCATGACACACACACACACACACACACACACACACACACACACACACACACACAGACACCAGGTAAATATAAGAAGACTGGCATACTGGTTGTCAGCAATGTAACAATATTTGTTCTGCTACTTGTTGGTCAGTGGTGCTCTGATAGTACGATTCACCATGGCAACGTGTAAATAAAGAGCAGAGCCTCCATTTTAATCCAGTGGTGCTAGAAATATGAATGTGTGCCATGACATTTATATTATAAGCGTGGAGAAAGGTGTCAATAAGTTAACACTGTTCAAACAGTTCAAAATGGCAACAGCTGCCTTAATGTGGACTTAATGTCCACAGAGTCACAGGGTTATAATGAAGGACAATGTAGCCTATAGATTTTATTCTGTGCTGAGGATGAATCTTTGATGTCCAGAAATCACTGTCTAAGATTCATCATAACAGCAGTCATGCTAAAGATCCAGTTAGGATTTTGAGGTTTCTAAAGACAGAAACTTCTGCAAATGAATGTGTTCCTTATGTGCTTTGATATTGACTGTATAAATGAGGAAATGAAACGGACAGTTCTTCAGGCTACTCATGAGGGCAGGACTCAGAGAGAAACTGCCAGCAAGCAGGTTTCTGGAATGGAAAACCCAGAGTTTCCCTCATCTCAGGCTTAACAAACGCATAGTTTTCACTAAACCCACTTTCTGAAACAGGGCCCCGGAGTCTTGTTGTAACTGTGAGGTTGCCAGCAACCAGGGGAGAATTCAGAAAGTGACTGCACCTGCCAGGCTAGTAATAAAAAACTGTTTCTAGTCTTAATGCTAAGCTAAGCTTTTAACTGGCTGTTGGTGGTCATCTCATCTAACTCTGAGCAAGTAAAAAAGTATATTTCCCAAAAAGTTAAACTATTCCTTTACTCCTTAGAGTTGTCAAAGCTCCTCAAGAGCCACTGGAGATATTATACACCTGTATTTATAGGCTGAGTAGTACTCCTCAATTACGAATAAACTGACTGCGTTGTGTTAAATACATTTATTTTCATAGCATTAAGTTTACATTTCTATCACTGATAGATTACATAAACCAACGAGAAATGCATTGCAGAAAAACTGCAGCAGGACACTGTGATCAGAATTTACAAATCAAAGCGGTTGTAAGTTACCGTACTGTTGCTGAAACATCTGAAATATTAGGTATATTTCATTCTGGTGTGTGTTTGTATGTTTCCAGGAGGTGTCTCCAGAGATGGATCACCGGGCCCCAGCCCAGAGCTGCTGGCCTCCCTGCAGTCCCTCAGAGAAAACAGTGACTACACACTGCTGCCACACTCCCTACACCAGGTGTGTCTGTGCGTCTGTGCGTTTGTGTGTGTGTGTGTGTGTGTGTGTGTGTGTGTGTGTGGATGGAGAGAAAGTGCAAGCAATTTTTTCCTCCCAAAATCCACAGGGAATGTGTGCCTTTATTTAGCCAGATGGAATGGCTTTGTGTCTGGGTGTAAATGCATCTTCATATGTTTTCAGTTTCTGATGCTAACATCTACAGTAAGGCCCCATCCACACTACTGCGTTTTTGTTTTAAAATGGAGACCTTTTGCTACCTTTGCACCTCCCGCCCAGTCTAAAACGGCAAAAACAAATACCTAAAATGGAGAATTTTGAAAATGCTGCCAACCCCGTTTTTTGTTTCAAAACTCCGGGTAGCTTTTTAGTGCGGACGGGTAAAAACGGAAGACTTTAGAAACAATGACGCAGATGCTCACGTTTGGCTCTCTGATTGGGTCTCATAAGTCATGCAAAGTAAAAACACGATGCTACTGACAGAGTTTTTGATTTGGTATTTTAATTAAAATATTTTGTACCTTGCAAATAACTCTTACAGCCTACACTTATACTGTGTATGTCACGGTTTACTTTGCGACAACTACCAGTCAGTTTTCCACCACCGCAGCCGCTTTTAGCTCCCATGTTACATTCAGTAACAGTCCCAACTCGTTATTGGTCCGTGCAAAATATAATCTGGTGTGGTTCTTTGTCTGTAGTACTTATTCTCTCGTCAAATCTTCTGTAACTACGGAAATAGACCATCTGCTTCATGTTTACACCGGAACGCCCTTTCCCAGTGGACGTAAACGGCCACTTGATGTGCGTTTTCAGTCATTGTAGTGTAGACGGAGGCAAAGCAAGGCAAGGCAAGGCAAGACAAGACAAGTTTATTTGCATAGCACATTTCAACAACAAGGTAATTCAAAGTGCTTTACATAAAACATAAAAGTAACAGGGAAATATAAAAAAGTTTAAAAGCAACATAGGGAAATTGATCAACTCTGATACGCAGCTAACATACTGGTGTGGAAGGAGATTGTACTCGTTTTTAAACTAAAACAGAGTAGTGTAGATGGGGCCTAAGGTGTGATGACAGACCTTCTGTGTGACCTGATTCCAATGCCTTTGTCTTCTCAGTTAGCTGTGATAAATATAACAAATCCCTGAGCTCAAACATTTCAAAAAAGCTTGTTAGAGCAAATAAATGCACTGAGATAACTTGGGTTATAATTTAAAAAGGTCAGCTGTCTGAAAATCTTAAATTTTAAATATAGTTTCTGAAGCAGGTGGAGGGATTTGAACTGGCAACCCTCTGCTCTTTTGTTGGTCTCCTGTCGCCTCCCCTGCCTCAGATCCCTACTCATTACAGCCATGCAAATAAGAAGTGTGGTAAATAAACTTTGGTTCACACTGAAATGGATCATGGCTTCAGTTTCATGTTGCAGGTGCAATACTTTGTAGACCACAACTTCTTAACAACACTGTGACAATATGATTAATTTGTCTCAGCTATTGCAGCACACTGAGAAGCTTGTAGTTTCACTGCCAAATCCACTAATCATGGAACAAAGGAAAGGAGAGGCAATGCAGTGCAGTCAGGGTCATATTGACAAAAGCAGTTGACGTGTTACTCTAAGAGCCACACACAACACATTTTTTTTATAAATACAGTCCAATTAAAATTAATTCAGTGTGAGTGATGCCAAACTCTCCAGATAACTAGCATTTAACCACTTTTAGCAGTCACATGGCCAGTGTCTTTCATACTCCATATTTGGTGATATGTGCAAATAACTGCTATTCTGGTGTACCAAATATTTCATGGCCTGAATTCATTAGTTAAATTTGAAACATACCCAAAAGAACAAGTCAGTAAATGAAGACAAAAGAATGAATATAGCAGCACAAGCTTGTCTATGTGGCTTAAAAACACTCCATATTAGGCTCTCATGTAGGTTTGCACTTGCCCCAGATGGGAAGTTTGGCTGACTTTGATAAATGCAGGATACAGCTACAAGAGCAAACATCATCAATTAAATTCAAGAATGCAGGAAGGTCATTGAATGACCAGGGAAATAATATCAGCCCTATGCCAAAGCCCCTTTTTAAGGTGACTGTAGCTAAAATTTCTCTCTGGGGAGTCAGTAGGCTACATTCAAAAGCAGGGATGTCTGTTTACTGCTGATCACAATCCAAGTCCTTTAATAATGGTTATTTTCTGATTAAATGTCCCATCCTATCTGATCTGTCTAATCTGTTTTTAATTTCCATTTTACAATAATTCTACATTAAAATTGGTAAATCAATTTCAGTATATTTGACAGCAGAATCATTCTGCTTAATATAACCTGCATCAAAGGTTTCCTCTGATGGCTTCTTATAATATTGTGACTGTTTTTCTTTTATTTCCTCTGCAATGTGTGGATCTGCTGTTTATACAGCCTCTTATTATGTCCATCATGAACAAAATCCTAAAGTTCAGGTGTCGTTTCCAACCAACAGCAGCACTGAAAAACATGTGACGTGATGGGTGAAGGGGGCCTTGCTGTGAGGCAGGAGGGGGGGCTTTTGCATATTTGTGTTCAGGGGGCCCAGTGTCTCATAATCGGTCTATGCCTTCTATTTGAAATAAGTGAAATAAGTTCAGGCTATTTTTTTCAGTCCATTGATGTTCCAACAAACATACAGTGTGTCATGCACATAGAGAGAAAGCTTCATTAGTGTTATTTATATAAACACTCAAGTAACACTAAAGCTGAAACTCAGATAAAAAAAAACTCTGCCTTAGATAAATAAATAAATAAATAAAATGTTCTAGTTCAAGGGTCTCCAATGTGATGATTTGATGCTTTTCTTGATGCAGATAGTACATTTAATAGCTAGGGGTTGAGACTGATCAAACAAACAATCTTAATATCTTGGTAATTTTGGATTTTTTGTCACTATTGTTTACCTTAAAATAACAAATAAGCCCTAATCGTTTGGACTACAAACTATAACACTAATTAATGATGAAAAGAACCAGTAGTTGTAGCCCTAAAACTACCTGGTGTCATGGAATTACAGGAACATCTAAGGAGGTGAAACTTCCCAATTTCTAGATTTACAAAATCATGTAGTCGGCTTGAAGAGGAAGGGAAAAAGTGGATGGGAAAAAAGCCCACAGAAACACGTTAATCCGGAACATAATGCAATGCATGTGACTTCATGTCTCACACGGTGTCTACATGGCTTGGCCGCCTGTATGAAGCAGTCATGTGATCTTCATCTTTGAAGGGATTTGCTGATTTTCAAACTTAAACGTCTACGTTGAACAGCGTAATTAGTCTCTGATAACATCACTTTCAGTGATGTGGGTCAAGGTCACCGTGTGCTTTCATGCTCCATGGGTTAATGGTTATGTTTCACACAGTAGAATGCTGTCACATGAGTTATTTTAAGTAGAGTAACACAAATTATGTCCAACTCTGTATACTGAACTAATATGTCTGAACTTCTGTGTGAACCAGCGTATACCCACTGTTAATTCAGTGATCTTTTTTTTTTTCAGATCGCAGAGGCGTACTCGCTCAAAGAGGACTGTATCCTTTCAAGTGCACATTTTTCTGTTTTTATGCACTGTGACATTTGCCAATCACTGGTATTTCCTAGCTAATTGCAAAGAGTGTGATATCCTCTCTGTGGAGTAAGTGGTTCTATCTCATTTGGTACAAAAAGGGGGTTTACCTTTGGTGAGGGTTGTCAAGCAGAGCAGATTTGGGTTTACAAGTTTCTTCTGTTAGAGGCCTGTGATGGACTGATGACCAGGCCAACACATGACTCTTACCCTAGGGACAATAATAATGTTTTTCAGCTATTTCAAAATGGCAATAATCAAACTATAAATCAATCAAAACTAAAAACTAAATATGTTAGAAGGGAAAAGCTTCAATTATTCATCTTTTTTAATGTTCGTTTTGCTGTCTATCTTTTTGTCAGCCACATCTTTGTCTCTGTGTTGTTTTCTATCTGTTCATTTGTGTCTTAGTCACTGGGTGTTCCCCATACTTTGGCTGAAAGCCCTGAAGGCTTGCAGTAGGAGTTTCCTGGCTCTGTTTGTGCTGTTGGTCTGGCAACAGCTGTATGCCTGTCTCGCTGCAAGGAGGACGGTTTGTGTTTCTGGGTGAGGGGAGGGAGAAAGAGAGAAGGTTCAGAATTCATTTATAATGATTGTTATCTTTGCAGGAATTGGTCATCATTTTTGTTGATATATTGCCTTCAAAATAATTTGTAAAAAAATTTTTTTTCTTTATTGGTTTCTTTGGTCTTTTTTATTTCACATGATCATATCATAGACACTCGACACTTTTATCTATTATCACAGCAAAAAGGTTAGCATAGTCTGGATCACAGATGATCGATTTAATGCCCCTAAATGTAAAGTATGTTTGAGCTCACTAATATACTGTATTTTCCTTTGCTGCCTTTCTTCCTTTATTTGTAAAAATGCTAATCCTTGAAGCTATCTGTCAAGTGGACATGTTGCTCCTGTTGATCTAAAAGAAGCACACTGATTATGAGATCATCTGAGTCTGAATTCGAGCATATGTTTGTAAGAATGAATTTGTTTTGGTGTCATGAGAAAAATGGTTACAGACCGTTAACTGAATGACACCATTGGTTTCTTTAATTACACCGTAGGATAGGGATTTTATTGTCTGCAGTACCATACTACTGACACAATTCATGTAAAAACTATTAAAAGAACTAAAACTGTAGTTTAGATGTTTAGATTGAAAGTCTCAGTTTGTGTCTTTAACTGGTGATGCTACCAGACCAGTGGGCCATCCAGTTTCTGCAGCTTGAGAAGCTCTACCATGAGCGTCTGCTTTCCAACCTCGCTGCCCTGCAGGAGAACTGGGGTACTGCATGCATATGTTTCTTCCTCCCATACAATATTTAAATCATTGCTCTAAAACATAAATGTAATTCTGTTATATTGAGAGAAAGAATGGTTGTGTGCATTTATTTGTGCGCACCTGTACTCCGCATGTGTTCCCAGAGAGCCAGCTGAGGGAGAAGAAAAACGCTGAAAGCTGTTTGCCTGCGGAAACAGACAGCATCAGTCAAAAACACATTGAGACCCTGAGCCAGATCTGCAGGACACACCCCAGGTACAATAAGAGAAAATCAAGGCTCACAGATGCATTCATAAACAGCCATTTTATATTGTTATCGGCTCCCTGAAATGGAGTTGGACACAAAGCAGATATTCCGAACCTGCATTTCTTTGTCATGTATTACTATTAAGTAAAGTTATGTCTTTGATGTTTCCCACACCTCAGTGCAAATACTTGCAGCAGAAAAACACGTCCATTATAAACATCTCAGCTTCTCAACTAGATTCCTCTCATGCCATTTCCTCCCATTAGCTTCATCACTGTCAGACAGAAACCTTTTAGTGCCTATTTTGCTTCACTGTAATCTACCTCTATCTTCATCTCTCGTGTGAGCGCACTGAGGAGTCACGGTCCAAACACGCTGATAATGCATGAAGACACACTGAGGATACAGACACACTTGGGACTCATTGGGAAAAGTCAATATTTTTGACTGGGCAGAAAAGATTCTCACAGGATAGTGATTTCCAGCAGATTCAGACAAATACCACAGGTCTGCATGCCAGACGCTGTTTTGTCCTACCTATCCTGTGACTCTCTTGGTATGTTGTTGCAACCCACAGTCATTGATGCAGGTGGAGTTGATTTTGGAGAAGAGATGCCGGCCTGAAGAATATTATAGCTTTTTAATTTGTTAAGTAACACATCATTAACCCTGTCTGACATTTTGTTACATCTCTTTGTTTCTCCTGCTATCTGTCTGGCCTTCTTGTCGCGGCTTTCCTTTGTCTCTATCTGTGTTCCTCTTTTTGGCATCACTCAGACCATCCATCAGTGTGGAACAGGTAAGACATGTGAACCTTCCTTTTCTATGATCACCTTTCAGATTTTTTCCTACACGATAAATAATTGTCAAATAAATAATTGTTGTTTGATTCAACAGAACACGCCGAATACAACACTGAAAGACACTCAGAGCAAGAACGAGACACTACAACCCTGTCATGATAAAAGTAAATGTGTATTACTGTCTGTATACAGCACCAAAGGAATAAACAAGACTAGAGTCTACAGTCACGCTTGTGGCTCTGTGAGAATATACAGCGGTGCTCTGAGCTAAATGTTAACTACATGCTAACATGTGCACAATACTAACATATTGATTAAACAGGTACAATAATATGTTCACCATCTTACTTTAGTGTGTTAGCATGCAAACATTTGCTAACAAGCAGTAAAGACAAAGTACAGCTGTTCCTGATGGGAATGTCATTAGTTTTGTAGGTAGTTGGCCATAAACCGAAGTACAGGACAAATTTCTATGTGTGGAGTCAGAGGATCTCTAAATTGAGAACAATTTAGCCTGAGACAGACATAAATGTCTCTACCAAATCTCAAACAATAATCCATAATCAATAACCAATGTCCTTTGTCTCTCTCACATTCCAGTCAACAAGCCCGAAACAACACACCAGGACGAAGAACAAGAGCAACGCATGAACTCAGAATCAGAGCTGCCGTTACCACAGACAGGCCATCAGGAGGGAGGTGAGGAGGAGGAGGGAGAAGAAGAAGAAGAAGAAGAAGAGACATATGAGGAAGGACAGGAAGTAGAAGAGGAGGAGGAGCCGTGTGAAGAGACGCCAGAGGAGGAGGAGGTGAAGGTGGAGTGGCCTACAGGGGTCCCCCAGGCTTCAGACAAGGATCTTGCCAAGCTGTCCCACACAGAGGGGGTAGGTACACTTTGTGTTCGCTGGTCTGGTATTTGTTGGTCTGCTTTTACACCTGCTCGTTTTTACTAGAGGAGGTAATGTAACGACTAATTAGCATTTTGGTAAATCAAACAGATTGTCACAGAACATGATTTGGGTATGAGTAAATAAAAGAGAGCTGTTGTGATGAATACAGGAGGGGTATAAGTATCTTTTCCTGCCCTGCATCTCTCTCTTGATCTTTGTCATCTTTCCTTCCTGTCTTCCCCTCCCTGATCTCTTCTAATTTACTGTCTATTATACTTTCTGCCTGCAGAACGTAAGAGTGCGTTAAAGTTCTACATTATGATCCACAGCTCTTTGTCTTTGCCGGGACACTCCCATGAATGATCTTTGTGGTCCCTTGGTGAGATCATCGTCAACTTCTTTTTGTTCAAAAACCTCCAGCCATGTTCACTGGTGTGGCCATACACTCGGGATGTCTAACGTGCCAAATGTGCTAGATTACTGAACCAAGATATCATGTGCTGGCTCAAACACTGAGCTCAAGTGGCCTGGTTCTTCCTAGAGGTGGAGATGAAATCAGAGCTACTCCAAACAAGCAGTGCAGGCTGAAGGCCTCGCATTGATGGGGTCAGGACCATTCTATGTAATCCAGTGGAGGCATGACTGGGTGGGACAGCAATAAAAATAGTTGACTCACATTTCTTGAGGGTTTTGGAGTGTTTGGGTTTTTTTATCAAGCAAGTATAATTGTTTTCCACTTTCTATTTTCTCTAGTCACTTTTTAAGAAACACAATTTGAGGACTAGACAACTAATTCAGAAAATAAGTAATAGTAATGCCCAGTGCTTGAATAATTGAATTGGCAGCACGAAAAATAAGAAACACTTGAATTTAAAGGGATAACTTTTAATTCTAAACAATTTTGGGATGAGTTTCTGGATTATATTAGTACTGATACACAGCAACTAAGGCAATAGAGCTGGAACAATAAATTGGCTGGGCCAATATTTTGGCCAATATTGGCTTAAAGAGGTCATATTATGCTTTTTGGCTTTTCCCTCTCCTTTATTGAGTTGTAAATCTTTTTTGTGTATGTAATAGGTTTGTAAAGTGAAAAAGCCCAAGTCCACCCCAAAGGGAGTTCCCAGCTCCTACAGAAGACACTGCTCTGAACTGCCTGAAAACAGCTCGTTTGTAGTCAAGCCTTTTTGTCCGCTTAAATGTGACGTCACATGGTATCATGTGTCAATAGCTCAGCGGCTAGTCAGACACGCCCTCAAAAACACCGGTGGAAAAACACACTGAGCTGCAGCACACACCGTGTCAAGACGTCTACCCCCTGCCTTCCCTCATCCCCACTCTCCCTACCAAACGTTATACAGTCAATGAACATACAGCTGTTACTGTGATGTAGAGACAGTGCACAGTTAAAACGTTACATATGAAAGATCAGTGTGTTCCAGATGAATAATTTACCACTCTAAAACTCTTGCTCCAGCTGCTAAGCTGGTCCGGCAACATGTACAGCTGAAGTGAAGCAGTGTTTACTGGTTTGTTAGGACCCGCCCTACTCTGCTTCTGATTGGCTAGTAGTCCTTAACTAGGTACTATGCATGTGCTCCCAACAAAGATCTTTTAGAAGTGAGATGTATCACTCCATAGCTACAACAGTGCGGTCAACACATTGGGTGAAAAAATATGGTGTTTTTTGAAAATGAAACCATGTAAACCTGTTCTGGTACAACCCCTAAATAAAATTATGAATCTGAAAATTAGCATAATATGACCACTTTAATGCAGCTATACATATAATTATAAGTGTATATTTTGGCTGCTAAGTAGCAAGATATTGCAGCACAGAATGCCAAATGTAGTTTTTTTTAGAAAAAGTGACGCCATTATAAAGTTTGTCTCATAAGTTTACTTTTTCACGGTAAAACTTTCCACTTAGTACATATGTTAGCCAACATTCTTCAAATTTAAGGTATACTTTTGTCAAAAAAGGTAAATAAAAATAATAATATCAGCTGATTTTTCAACTCTCAAATATCTACATATCCAGTGTCCAGACTATAGCAATTAGTCCTGTATATTATTAGTCCTGTATCTTAAGATCTCCCAGCCAGCTGCTGGCTTTCCTGACAAAAATGAACCACTAGCACACAGGGTTGAGCTTACAGAAACATGTAAAGCCACAGAACCTCTCTCTCAAAAACAAACCATTTAGTCTGGTAGCTCACTGCTAATTCAGTCCTCAGCCGGCCAAAACAGTGACCTGCTGAACAAAACTGAGAGCCAGCAATAGTTTATGTGGTATATAATATATTCAGAAGAAGAGACTTTGTTGACAGTGTGAAATGTGAAAAGGCCATACTGTGTCATTTCAAACACTATGGAATTAAGTCTTGGAACATACTAAAGCATTAAAAAATATGTTATTATGCTTTTTGGCAAAATTTGGCATAATACTTTTTGAATTTTTGTTCAGATCTGTTTGCTGCTGTTCATTGCTGTCTGGCACGACACCAGCTGGCTGGGAGATTGTCAGTTACAGTACTGATAGTCTCTGCTAATGTTCATTTATTCATACAAATGCCACTAACGCATACCTCCTTGTGTCAAAATTATCACTTTTCAATCTTTATCAATTTTTTCTTGTGTATTTGCCAGATTCCAGTAATTTTTGCATGATGTTAGATGGCGTTTTAGTCATGCCTGACTTTTTCACTAACCATCAGGTAACACATTTCATTGATTATTCTTTCAGTTTGACTCAATCTGTGATTTTCTTACACTTTCAAGAGATTTCCCAAATTTGAACTAGAACAGTACTAAATCAAAACAGTGTTTTCAATTATCCAACGAAGGTTAAAATCAAGGGCAACTGGACTTGGTTGAAGATACTGGAAGACGTTTCGTCCCTCATCCAAAGGACTTCTTCCGGATCTGGTGATTGGTGTTTACAGAAAACCCACACACACAGACCAATACCTACTCTTCGATTCATACCACCCACTGGAGCACAAGCTGGGGGTCATGAGAACACTGCACCACAGAGCGGAAAACATACCAACAAGCGCCCAAGCCAGAGAGAAGGAACAGTGCCCACCTGAAGGGGGCACTTACAGCCTGTGGAGACCCTAAATGGACCTTTGTGAAAACAGCCACAAGATCCAAGAAGAACAAAACTACAGGGGAGGAGGAAAAGAAGGTCAAACGCAACAACATTGTGATTCCGTACGTGTCTGGAGTATCAGAGAAACTCAGGAGGATTTTCAACAAACACAACATCCCTGTGTTTTTTAAACCCAAGAACACACTAAGACAGATGCTGGTACACCCCAAAGACCGCACACCCAAACACAAGAAAAGCAATCTAGTGTATGCGGTCCAATGCAGTAAGGAATGCACAGACCTGTATATTGGGGAGACTAAACAACCACTACACAAACGCATGGCTCAACACAGAAGGGCCAACTCCTCAGGTCAAGACTCTGCAGTCTACTTACATCTGAAGGACAGAGGACACTCGTTTGAGGACCACCAGGTGCACATTTTAGACAGAGAAGATGGATGGTTTGAAAGAGGTGTCAAGGAAGCCATCTACACCAGGGTTGAGAAGCCGTCATTGAACAGAGGAGGGGGTCTACGCCACCACTTATCCCCCACTTACAATGCTGTCCTTTCATCACTTCCCAGGAAACTCAACAAACGTAACCTATTGGCCTCAGGTGAAGATACCAACGATGGTCGTTCAGTCTTGGCCACAGGTAGTCTTAACGACTGTAACGACTGTCGTCACAGCAACCAGGAACACTAACGAACCAGCGGTATCGATGACCCGGGCCAACGACCCCACTGAGGTTAAATAGCTGAGTTTCCCTGCCAGTCAGTCAGAACTGAAGAAGTCCTTTGGATGAGGGACGAAACGTCTTCCAGTATCTTCAACCAAGTCCAGTTGCCCTTGATTTTAACCTTTGTTGGATAACTATGACCTGGATGACTGAGAATCTTCATAAACAGTGTTTTCAATTATACATTAAATTATGATTCCTGAATAAACCACCGATTTTATCATAATTTTATCACAATTAGTTGTGCTTGACGCTCGGTATGCTCATTTATCTTCTTCAGAAAACAACTTTCATCACAAATTCCTGTGGCTTTGTGGAACAGAATTACACCGTGTTGTTGTACTATGTAAAATCTGGAGCTGGCCCAGACTCAACTTTACAGTCTTTACCTAATCAGTTATCTATGGAGGAGCTCCAAGCTCTCAGAGAAAGTTGTTTCTGCTCACACACAAATATTACTTTGTCCTGACAAAACTCAACCACTTCTCAAACCATGCAGTATTTCTCTTTAACATTACAATTTCCACAGTGGTGAAAGAAGAAAATTCGGATTTGAACAGGGATTTGGACTTCAGCACCAGAATGTAATCTTAAAAGTCAAGTCAAATGTGCCTCTGTACAGATTTGACTGAACATGATGACAGCTGCATTATTTGGCACGTTGTTTACCCACTGACCTCAGTAAATAATTGACCTATAAATTATGGCAGCAGATGAGGCTGACAGCTTGACAAATGACTCCACTTCAGTAATCAGCATTAGACCGTGCTGTGTGTTATTGTTTCTGCTTTGTTCAGAAATTATGATCAGGTCAAAAGGTTTTCAATTGGGTGGGAGGTGTGGCTAATTATTTTTATTTCTGACATCTGTTGACTGTACATTGTAACTGCAGTTTTAAACATCAGTCGGAAATTCAATGCATAATAATGAATATACCGTCAGAAATAGATTTCGGTAACATTGGTCTCTCTGAGCTTGCCCAATCATGATTTCCATCTGAAAAACATTAGTCAGGCATGCTGTGTTGTTGCACCTGTTCTTCTGCAGCACTTGCCTCTGCCAAGCTTCTGTTATTGAAAACATAAACTATTCAACTAAGCTTTTAGTTGTGACAATGACAAAGAGTTTTAGTCTGAAGCAAATGTTACATGCAGTTACATGGTATGAGACTCAACCAAGGCTGTGTTTGTGTTCCTATTCTTACAGTAGGCTATATGCTTTCTTTAAAGTATTTTGCAACATAGATAAGAAAAAGATTATCTAGTCTGACACTTTTTTTGACCAACATGAATTGATGTTTTTTTAGTAGATTTTTGGAAGTTTTGTCTGTTGGTCACCCAAGATGACCAAAGTATGGCACTTTCTGTTTACCTTAGGTTTTTTGGATATTTATTCAAAGTTTGTGCAGACAGAGATTGATGATGATGATGCAGCTCCATGTATTTACCATTTTAGTGATTACTTTAGTAAGTACAATGTTATCATAACCAATAGAACTAAATCTAAAATAAAACCCTAGTTGTAAAGTGACTCCCAAAACGTGGACCTTAAAACAAGAGAAAACAGTGGTAGTGGTCATTAGCAATAGTGGTCATTTCTCTTGTTTGTGCGTCTCCCTCAGAGTTCCTCCCCAGATGGTCTGGTCTCCATTCTGAAGAGGAGGAGAGCATCGCTGGATGGATTGCCTCCCCCAAGCAACATTGTTACTAAACAGAACTCGAAACGCAAAGTTCGCTTCAGTGAGCCAGAGGACGGCAGTGAGCAAGGTACAGTTGAGCTCATCTGTAATGTAAACACCAGAATGAGGAGACTTTTAAGATGCATGATCCAGGCCTGATTTACAGTGGCTGCAGCTGGTTGAATGTGTGTGCTACAGACAAACTGCCAAAATACTGAATCATTTAAAGAAGCATTTGTCCTTTTCTTACTTGTAGATGAGGTAGGTGGAGATTCCTGCCTGATCCTGCTGCTGCTGTGTCTGGTTACTGTGGTGATCAGCGTAGGCGGGACAGCTCTCTACTGCACCCTGGTGGACACTTACTCCAACATTTGCACCGACTTCACTCACAACGTTGACTTCTATGTCATGAACGTACGGAGGTTCTTTGAAGGGCTCGGACATTGGCTGCCCCCCCGGACTTAGACCCTCTCATCTGCATTCCAGACGGGAGCTGTTTCAGACATTTGTACTGTAATGGACAGTGTGAAATAGAGAGTGCTGACAAGAAAGTACCTGAGCACGACTCAAATCTGCAGTTTGGAGTCAGCGTGACCGACATAGAACCTACAGGCATTAATCTGATGCTGTCATCCAGAGTGTTTGAAGCTTTGGTTTCTTCTACAGTGACTGGAGCTTAGGGCCTTTGGCTGAGATTTATGAATCTGAGCTATCAGCCTAAGATTTATGTATAGGTAATTGGTGCTCAAAGCAACACTTAACAGTAAGAACTGTCAGAATTCACAACATACTGTGGGATCACAGTTTAAAGCCTCTTACTACTGTTTGTGTGGAGATTTCATCTTAAGCTGAACCTTACAGATAGCACACAAAAAGGCTTGCAGCTCCCAACAATACAGAAGAAGTAATGTATCTGTGTACTAGTGTTCCCCTCACATTTGTAGCAGAGAAGCTCTCATTAGAATCTTTAGGATGTACACGCGTGTTATTATTTTTGGATGATTAATGGGCCAATGGGCCAAATGACCCCCCCCCCTCCCCTTTTTAAATTAATGTTGCCATTATCTTTTGGTCTGTTGACTCATCTCTGTTAAATTAATATACTGCAGGGCTGTACACCTATATCAGACACTTTCTACGACAACAAATATTTATATTATTTTGAAAAACTCTGATTCCAGATACAGCCTATATGAATGATCCTTGTGTTTACCTCAGTACAAGTGGTTACTTTTAACATTCCTATTATCAACTTAATATAACCAGTTCAAAGAGAAGATTTGTACTGTATGTGATACTGATAAATGTATAAAGTGCTCTATTAAAAAAAAAAACACAGCGTCATAAAACGGCCTGCATGAATGATGGTGTACATGTAGATTCACGAAGAATGTGGCTCTAGGTATGAAAATATAAAGTCCACCACCTTATAACACATCAGTATGCAATACTGTGATTTAACAGCCACTCCACAAACTCAGGCACTTACCCTGTGTTTATAATTTTTGTGCTCCGTGTTCACTCTAAAGTGTGTGACCCTAAAATTCCTGTTCTACATCTGGAGCTATGATTAAGTCTAGTCTCCTGCAGTGTGCAAGCAGCTACGTCATGATGGTAGTCAAAACCCAATGCAGAGAGAAGATACATTTGGATTGCGTGTGCTTTGGGCAACAGATCACGTTCAGAAACAGGCAAAAATACAGATGGTTTAAAAATGAAGATAAGGTACACTACACTCTTGAACGTACCTAGCTCAAAATGTTTCCTTTGGTTATATGCACATTCCTGAGCCTTCTTTTATCTGCGTTGGTAGTTTAATACCCAGAGGGCATGGGTTATGCTGTCTTTGTATCATTTTGTCCAAAGCAGAGCTTTATGGACCAACAGTTGTGTTTCCTGGCTGGGACAAGTAACACAACAGAAAATATGGCTGTTAACACATTTTATTGAAACAGAGAAAATTAAATTTGATCAGCATGTACCTTTTGTCCATTGCCTTGTGTTGATGTTTATACTGATTTCAACTGATTTTTACCTTTTCTTCTGAACTGCTACTTCTTCTGTTTTGTCACTGTGGATAACTGCAATTGCTGCATTATGCAATCCACCTTTTATATGTTTCAATATTTATGTTCAGTTGTGTCCACAAAGGAATACAAAAACACATTAATGAAAGGAAATGTGCCATTGTGCTTTCTTTTTCCAGGGCATGTCCTAATTTACACGGTTGCTTGGTAGGTGAAAAGAGTTTCTCACATTTAAAAGAAAGGTGTTTTTAATAGTCATCAATAGTTTTTTTGTTTGGCTGTACACATGCTCATGAGGCTTTTCACACTGACCGCAAATGCCCCAAGTTCAGTACCTACTCTTCACCACATGATGTCAGTGTACACCACGGAATCACCAACCATGTTATGTATAAACTTCATCCACTGCTGCAGTACAGCCAGCTGAAAACAGAGCTACAGCTCCTGAAAGTATCGTGTTTAAACAATTTACGTGATATTTTAACCATCGTATTTCACATTCACATTTCTTTAATTGAGGAAAACTATTTAGACTAATAAGTTGGTTACTGGAATGAGTGCACAGTGCCCAGGATGTTAGTATGTTGCTAAATTCAATAAATGGTGGAATAACATAACAGTGATGGAAAAATGTAAATTGGAACTTGTAACTATGCTTTTTAAATGAATTTTCCAGCTAATCCAAGGGGGGAGAATATCTCCATTAAGTATGAGAATTTTCCCAACCCATAAAGGAACACTTCACAAGGAAAAATTCACATTCATTATCACTTTATTTGGAGATACGTGGTTTTCACTATACAGGAAGGGTATGAAAACTTGCAATCTGAAAAGTAACTGGTAACAAAACCTGTAAGGAGTAACAATGCACAGTATTTCACACTAAAATATGGGCATTCACTGGAAATACTCAAGTAAAGTACCTTGGATTTGTACTCAAGTAGAGTAGCCTACTACTAGTAAATGAAGTTATTGTTACATTCCACCACTGCAGCAGGCAGGTGGAGGCCCGCCCCCAAGAATCCATGATTGGATGGTGAACTGATATTCTTGATTGGATAGTCAAATGACATGTTAATCAGAGCATCCCCATTAGTTATTCAGTAGAATGTGTCAAATGTGGGACAAAAGTACTTGTAACTGTAGGTTTGTTTTGTACCTGGAGAATCGATCCATACCTGTAAACTTGTTTTTTTTTTGATATTCAGATATACATTCAAACATTTCCACACAGCTACAAAACATTTTCACGAGTATTAAACTTTTCCACACAGCTACAAAACATTTTCACGAGTATTAAACTTTTCCACACAGCTACAAAACATTTGGGACATTTTTTTCCCACAGGTTTTGCAGTTATCATCTGACATCCACACATACCACAGATCAGGTTAGGGCTATGAGTTGAGAGGTATCCACTGTACAATTAGTGAAGGTTATCTCTTTTCCTCTCTTTTGTCAGCTATGCTGGAGCTGAGGACAGACATTGAAATCATTGGCCACAGGAATCGCTGGCCATCATGTGCCAACAAGGCCTGGTGATTCTCAACTGTGTGGGACCTGTAAGTGCAGTATGTTATCCAGACTTTGTCCGGGGAGTGAAGCAAAGGAAACTTTGCGATGACATTTTGTTGATGACAGGTGACAACAACACTGTTCACAACAGTTCTCTCTCTGCTTTGTTTGTCCTCTCAGTACAGATTTTATGGTAAACCAGTTGTCAAAGCTTGCATAGAAAATGGAGCTCACTACTTGGACATTTGTCGGGGGCCCCAGGGAGAAACAACAATGTCCATTAATATATTTTTTAGGGGTCGATTCAATGTGATTGTATCTGTGTATTTCTTTGATATTTTCTTTATTGCTGTCCCAAAGGTAGACTGAATAAATTGAGTCTTGGCTGCGTCTGTGACTGTGCATGATGGTTGTGTGTTCATACAGTCAGTTCCATTTTGTTTTTGTGTGTATGTGTATAATTGTGGGTGTCCATCCTCTACAGTTTCAGTGACACATAGGCCTTGGACAGAGGAGTGGATGTGATTGGCAGCTGTGGCTTCGACTCCATACTGTCAAACCTGGGTCTTACACAGAGGCAGTTCAAAGGTATAGTAGGCCAATAGTAGCAAGTTTAGCTGAACTCATACATTTGATTGTACTAAGGCTACATTTTAACTGGAACTTGGTCTTTAACTGTGTGATTTGCGAAACAAGTGTGACTTCAGGAACACTGACAGCTGTGGAGAGCTTCCTGAAAATTAACAGTGAGCCCTAGGTAGCCTCAACAACTACAGCCCCTGCATTGCATGATGAGAATTGTAGTCCGATACACTTTCGCCTACCTCTTAAAAGGTAAAATGATGGCTTTTTTGGTGTAAGTTCATATAATTGAGTTGTCGCTTTCAAGGCACAGTGCAGGATGTGAGTAATCACAGACGGTATAAAAAAATATCAGTATAGGTACACAGTCGAATACATGTTTGAAATAAAACATTGCATTTTACTTAATTTCTGTATATAGTATACAGTAGACGAGAACTGAACTCCTAAAATGACTCCCAGCAATCACTGGTCATTAGTCACAGAAATCAGTATCTCTGTAACAGAAGCTTCAGGCAAGTTGTGGGAAAATATATAGAAAGAATATATATAGAGGGAGCAGTTAAGTGAGTGGAGCAGATGCGCTACTCTCCTCATGGGAGACTGTGTTATTATATAGCCACATATATATATTTTTAATTTCCATTGAATCAAAATATGCTTTTATATAACCAAACAGCTGCTTTTGTGCAACTACCCTGTAATTTCTGAATTTATGTAATTTTTCAAGAGTAGGTAAAGCACTCCCCATCTGTCAATCCAAAGAAATAGTTGTTTATACACATCAAACCTTTTGGAAAGCACTAGTTTTCTGCACCGTGACAGAATTTAAAGTTATCTCAACCCTTGCATGGGTCGTCTGGCAGTGATGCTACTTGGCAGTCTGCTGTGTAAGGCTTCGTAGACAGCTGATCCATCCGCCAGCTTAGGAAGAAGTTTGGCCACAAGCCGCTGCCAGTGGTGGGAGCCAAAGTCAAGAAGAGGTAAGGCTATAAATGAGCAATTACTGTCTGGCTAAAAGACCTTTCTTTGAGTAATAACGTTTTTATTGGAATGTAGGGCTTGGCAGCAGTTTGTCAACAGAGGGGTGCATATGGAGGCTATCCTGTTTCTTCGGTGTACAGCAGAGAGGGATTTTCCCACTGAAACTGTTGTATCTTTTATACACTTGAGCTTCATTTGAATAGATTCCAAAGTGAAAGATGCAATATTATTTTAACAATAACACCTTCATTTACAACATAGTGCAATTTGAGCAAATGCAATCAACACTAAATAAATGTAAGAAAGCATAGGCCTATGTTATTTTAAAAAATGTTCTTGAACGAAAGCCTTCATTTTGGCTGCTTTAATCTATAGGCAATGAAACATACTCTGCAAGTGAGACACAAGATCAACTTAAGTTACTCAATAAAAATCATGCACGCTTTGAGATACACTGTTTGTGCAAGATAGCTGAGATGTGCAGATTATAACTCTCTGGCAGACTGACTTACATTCAGTATAATGGAATTTTATTGGAACGCGGGGCCAGGCAGGGACGGAGAGACAGATTTAGAAGACTATCAATGGATGAAATGAGCTCAAATACTGCTTTGCTGATGTTGCAAGCAGAGATAGATTCGGTGAGTGTGAAACCACTTTGCTGTCTCTGTGTATTTTGGTGTTTGTGTATGTGTGTGTCGAGAGGTTTTATATTTTTCAGCTGCCAGATCAAGCAGTATGCCATCCCATTTATGCTTGCATGTGCTTGTAAAGCATCAAATCAGTAGAAAATTGCTCCATAGCACCACTAGCGTTAAAAAAACTCTCTTGTTTTTCTATTTTGGCCTTTTTCAGTGAAAAAAGCTACGTCCGGCCAGGCTTTGTAAACAAGGAGGAGCGCTGCCCACGTGAGAGTAGCCTCAGTCAGACCCACTTATTACTGTGTGTTCGAGCAGCATATGGAGGTCATCCTGCAGATACATGGGAAGAAATTGTCAGTAGTAAAGTAACAACGTATTTAATACGGGACAATTCGCAGTATGTGAAAGGCAGCAATGAATTCACTGTGAATGACTTGTCCCCAATAAATAGTATTAAATAGTATTTTAACATCCTACCATTGCAAAATATTCATTGCGAATTTTCCACATAAATAATTGCACATACATTTGAATATCTCTAAATGCACATTAATATGATACATCAAATTAATTTATGTTGATTAAATTTTTTTTTTTTCTTATTGAATTGTTGAAATTGTGTTCATCCACATGATTACACCCTTTCTGATGACAAATATGCTTCAATTGTGAAAACATTTGAAAAAATGAGAAAAGAGAAAAGAGTGTTTGGCCAATAGTAGCGCTATGGATCTCTGTATTAAGCAAACTCTAAAATATGATTCAAGTTGTGTCTGTACTCTGGAAATTGGGCTAAATAATAATATTTTTACGTGAACAAATTCACTTGTAATCTGTATTCTACATATTATACTAGATTGCGCCACAGTATTAGTAATGTGTTGGCTGTGTTGGGTTAGCTCAAGCGTAGTTCTGAAAAAGGTTTTAGGTCTCGTTGGGGTTGCAAACCCCTTTTGCAAGGGAGAGCTGACCAAGGCAATCCCTCAAATATATACAGTATCTGCAGTCATTTTGAGAAGGTTACAGTCACCCTTTGCTCATCTAACAGCTCTTACTGCAGCTTAGATTCTACCTCATTTGCATGTTTCTTTCAACAAAAATGCAAATGTAAATTTCCATGCAATCAGTAATTTGGCACACCGTGTTTGAGACAGTAAGTAACTGGGCGTGCATCGAAATGTTTTGCTGCGTCTGAGCATGCCTCAGGACCAGAAGGATTAAGAACTGCTAATGTCTCAGTACTACCTGTGTCCTTCAGGAGCACAGTGTGGTACGCTGCATAAAATGACACAAAGAGGTTTAATATTTGGTATTGAGAAGACACACTCCTTCATATTTTGACTGCACCTCTGCATCCTAGCTGGGAGAATGCAAAACCATTTTTTCCCCTGCTGTACCTGTAACTAGGTCAGCCATTCCAGCAGCTGTCACTCTTTTGATCACAGCCAGCGAAACGGGCCTTAATGAAACTATCTCATTATGTTGTTTAGGCCGCCATCTACCAGCAAAGTGGAAATATGATGAGTCATCTGTAGTGATTCATCACTTTCTTCCCCGCTGCTTGTTACTCCCTTTGACATCTCATCTCGCTCTTCTGCCTCGCTCTTTTTTCTCCCTCCAACTGTTTCTCTGTTTTTACTCCATGTCATCCTCCTTCTTCCTCACTCAATATGATTCTGCATTTCTTACCACCCTCCTACTTTCTCTTTTTTCTTCTACCTTTTGCATCTACATGCTCCTCACCCATTCTCTTCTCATTTGCTTCTGTCACCCGCCTCCCTTTCCTTTTATCGCTTCAATTTCATCTCTTATTACTTCTTCCGTGTCCCTCACCTCTTCCCACTTCCCTCTCGACACACCACTTTCCCTTTATCCCTCATACCCCCCCTCATCTGTTATCTGTATCCCCTTATTTTTCCCTCTCTGTCACCTTTAATTTCCCTTTTTATCTTTTACGTTCTGCCTTTCGTGCCCTCTTTTTCCTCCACCTGCAGGTTAGTTACTGTGCCTATTTCAGGATTGGTGGCCTCTTCTCAGTAGTTAAGCTCTTCTGTGGCGGCCTGCTCTTCTGGTTCTTTGTCAGATTCAGCCTGGGCATGAAACTCCTCACTACAGTAGCTACATTGTTCAACCTCTCTTTTTTGTAATTTCTACCTTGGTATTTGCTGGCCAAAGCAGATTATTTGAGTCAGCAAAAGCCTTAAGACTCTGATAGTTATTCCAAGCATTTAAATGTGGATGAGTGTCACAGTTAGGCGTGAGTATTTAGCTGAAAGGCTTACCCAAAGCTACTCATGTTAAATGCAGCAGCAGAGCGTGGCAACAACTGTGATACTACTTGATGCTTGCAAGTAGAAACATTTCTCAAATCAACATGGATTATACAGTTTTATTTCTGTATTTACTGCAAGTCAATAAAAAGCAAAGGAGTTATGGGGAGTAAATGGAGGAGGTTATTTAATGTTATTTATATGCAAACTTCCATAATTCTTCTGTAAGCACAGTTTTGTGAAATGTAAGTGATTGATGTTTGTTTTTTGTTCCTTCTCAAAGTTCCCATCACTCTTCACCTTTGGCTTGTTCACCAAGTCTGGTCCAAACATGAAGCAGGCGACACAAATACTATATGAGTTTAATATATATTTGTATCCTGAGATGAATTGAAAGCTTCCTTGGGGAGCATGTGACATGGCTGTCAAACATCGCCTGCAGTTTGGAGCTTTGAAACCAAGTGAACTGATTCTGTTTGGCCCTGAAACGTTTTCTTAATCATCTTAATGTAAGTGTCCTCCATGAACACAAAATATTCGAATAAAAAAAAACATTTGAATAAAAAGTGATGCCCCTTGTCCTGATGGATTTCTCTTTCCTACTTTAGTACTCATAAAGTATGTTTTGTGCCCTGGTTATAGCAGATAACACACATCATGGGTTTATATTTTTCTCACTTTGTCAGCTCTTATAACAACTATTCCAGCTCTTGTGTCTTCAACCATGTACATGCAGTGTTCATTTTCCTGGAGTGTTGTTTTATTATGCAGTTTGTTGTGCTGCAAAATCTTTTTTTTAAATCAATTTATATATAATATTGCACTAACCACTGTGTGAAGACATTGGCCATGTCACAGTAGGAAAAATACAGTTGTGAATGATCAATTTAATGAGCTGCTTCAGTTTCAAGAACCTGGTTTTGTTCATGCAGGCTCACTGTCACACTGTCATGGCTCACTGGAACATTTGAATAGAACAGAGCCGCCATTAATGCCATTAGTTACACCTGTGATTTTCCTAATATGACAAGTAGCATGTTGAAAAAGGCCCATTCAACATTAGCAGCATAAGAATAGTGGTGTTGCCTGTATTACATCTAGTAAGTAGGTTTGGTGCCAGACCTCTGAATCACTGCCCACATCTTCAGTAATTCAAATGTTGAGTCTGTTCATCGAGCTTCAGTTTCACCTTAATAATTGCAGTTTATTGTTAAAGGATAAGGCTGGTGTTATTCTGTATAAAAGGCTCTGTAATTATCTAAAAACAGCTGGGCACTGTAAACTTTTGTAAACATTAATCAAACAGGAGTGCATTTGTTGGGGACTGTTTTCAGATTACTCCACTTTTGGTGCCCAGTGATGTCATGATGCCAGAAATTTAGTAGTCGATACCAATACCAGAGAAATTCCCCAATTCTTGATACCCATTTCGATGCTACGTCAATATAAACTCCTTTAATAAATTATCAGACTACACACACAAACACCCACACACCCACCCTGTACCCATGGTGACAGACCGTTGATCCAGAAATATTTATTTAAAATGCTAACAACATTATGACAGACTAAACGGTAAGGACGGCAGCCATGTTTACATTACGTTAGGCTGAACACGATAGCCTTTAGCGTTTAATGATTGCAAATGTCGTAGGGAACATAGTTGGCCAGGGGACACAGCAATGTCTCATACATACATTCACAGACAGGGTACAGAAGTATTAGAAGTATTGAGAGACAGACTAACATGTTATTGCTTTTGGTATTTTCATGGGATTTGTTGAGATCAGTCCTATCCATTCCAGTCTTTGAACCTAATGCTTAGACTATGTGAAATGTTACTTTCTGCATTGATTGTTTACTGATGGACAAAATACATGCAAACACTATCGGCACATTCCTTTCACACAAATCCTTTCATTCTAAACTCTGACCTTTTTTTAGAGAGACTGTTTACCATGCTTGAAAGCTTTAATGACTGTTTCCTGATGTGATAAAGGATTTTTAAAGTCCTGATAGACAAAACAGTTGACTCACTAAACAGTGCTTGGTCTTGATGAGTTTAAATATTAACTCATTCTGACAGATTTCTTAGTGATTGTCCATTGTTTTTGTATCTTCACAAGCAAAGAACAACATACAATCCACATCATAAACATCCAGCTGCTCACAACCGGAGGCTACAGTCTTGCCACAAGGTGCCAGTGTTTCCTCTGCTTCTCCCCACTGCCAAATATTTTCAGGGCACACCTCCACATGACAGTAGAGGTCGTTTGGTGCCGTTGAGCATACAGAGATGGTGCATTGCCTTAATTAAAAGACTGTGGGTGCACCATTAAAATCTGGAGAGACGGGAACACGACAAGAGAGCCACAAGGTAATTGTGAGGTAGTAGATTTCTCAGATCTGTGTATAAGATGTGAGTCTTATATCTCCCTCTCATCCCCCAGCTGTCACCACCACTCCAATAAAACAACTATCCCACTAAACATAAATAGACACAGAGAAAGCTGATTGGAGCTCTGTGTGCAGTGAGTCTGTTGACTGAAATGCCAGAGGGGTGTTAAATAGGTCCTAAGTGCAGTGTGATGAGTAGCTGAAGGCGGGATGGGGGGGGGGGGGGTATTTTTTCCCTGTGTCAGTGTACGAGAACGAGAAATGGGGGTAGAGGGATTGCAGTGGATTCAGCCCCACCCCTCTATCCCGGCACATCTCCAGTCTGCCATTGTGGCTGTGCAGATATTCATGTCCCATGCACCTCCTCTCCTCTCTCTCCACCTTCTCCATTTGGATCTATCTATCTGTCTAACTAAAGATTTGCCTGCACTCTCAAATTCAAATGAGCTTCATTGGTTTGATCACAATTAAGTACAGCATTGCCAAAGCATGTGGTTCGAGTTTTACAGTATAGTTTAGAATGTGTCATTGGCTTTACACCACACTATCAAGACCATAGCTTCAGCTAACCCACCTGTATAGATGTATAGAATACATTACAGACATGTGCACCAAAAAGGGTTTCATTTCCAAACAGCTTTTGACTTAATCTGCCAATGGCCTGTTCAATTACAAATGAAAAGAAAAAGAATACATTAGTAAGGCTGGAGAGGGATTGCTTTTCAAATATAGTCAAATATAAGGTTCTGCCCCCTTCACCACCCCAATCATTTTTGTACAAGGCCTTACATAAGTGTGTGTGCGTGCAAAAAGTCCGTAACAAATAATTTGTTCATTTGTGTGAATGGATTTGAGAATGTGTCCATGCATGAGATCACTTTGTGTGTGTGTGTGTGTGTGCTGAAGGAGGTTGTTGTTTCTGCAGGCTCCACTTGCTGACTCCGAGGAAACTGAGTCCCGGACTGTATCAGCAAGAGAGAGAGAGAGAGAGAGAGAGAGAGACATAGGCTGCAGACACAAGTCAGAGCAGGAGTTGTTGGAGCTCGGTGGTTTGCCTGCAGAAAGATACTGTATATACCCGTACACACACCCCACTGCAACCGTTAGTTTTAATTACCAAAAGTCACCTTCAGGACAGGACTGCCAGACTGCCAATTTACCTCAGCATTGCCAATAAGATTCACCCGTTTTAGACACATACATTGTTATTTTAATGCTATAATGTTCTAGACAGAAGTAAATAGAAATAATTAAAGTTCGGTCTTCTGCACATAGTGTATATATACACATTTTTTTAAATAATGCTTAGAGCAACAAGAGCCAATCAATCAAAGCATTAAATGAGGTTTATTGGTCACCCATTGGTTTAATATTATTTATTGTACTATTGTGGTATACACACTTACACTTTATTAGGTACACCTTGCTAGTACTGGGTTGGACCCCTTTTGCCTTCAGACCTGTCTTAATTCTTCGCAGCTTACTTTCAGTAAAGTATTGGAAACACTCCTGAGTCCATACTGACATGACAGCATCACACAGCTGCTGCAGATTTGTCGGCTGCAGATCCATGATGTGAATCTCCCATTCCACCACATCCCAAAGGGGCTCTTACGGATTGAGATCTGGTGACTGTGGAAGCCACTGAAATACAGTGAACTCATTATCATGTTCAAGCCAGTTTGAGATGATTTGAGCTTTGTGACATGGTGCATTATCCTGCTGGAAGCAGCCATCAGAAGATGGTACACTGTGGTCATAAAGGGTTGGGCATGGTCAGCAACAATACTCAGGTAGGCTGTCGCGTTTAAAACATGCTCATTTGGTACTAATGGGGCCCAAAGTGTGCCAAGAAAATTTCCCCCAAACCATTACACCTCCACCAGCCAGAATCGTTGATCCAAGGCAGGATGGATCTGTGTTTTCATGTTGTTTACGCCAAATTCTGACCCTACCATCTGAATGTCTCAGCTGAAATCAAGACTCATCAGACCAGGCAACGTTTTTCAATATTCTGTTGTCCAATTTTTTTGTATCAATGTGCTGACAGCACAAGAGTTGTTCTGTAACCCGTAATCCTCTCTTCCCAGGCTGCCATCTAGGAAAATTATCAGCAGAGCGTTTTGCAAAGGCGTTAAAGGCTGCACAATACCTATTTTATATATTTTCATGTGTAAAACACATAAAACTGAAAATCTAGATTTCTATTTCACCTTAAGCTCTGTGGTGACCCTATTTGGCTAAACAGACAGATAAAAAGAGAGTTTACCCTATCTGTCATCAATGCAACAGATACTCGCCTTGGTCCCAAGTATGCAGCATAATAAGTCCTGACTATAGTTCAGTCATCAGTCTCTGTATCCGCTTTAGGTCAAGGTCTAGCCCCATTTAACTTCTGTGATTTCAGGACCCTACCTCAAATGACTGAAGAGAAGGTGGATGGATGCATAAACAGCAAACTAACCAATGGACTAAAGGCGATGTGAGATGATGAGGCAGAATGTATTACAGACACTCCAGAAACCAGAACAATCCATAGTGTTCCTGTACTATCCTCTGGTCTCCTTCAAAAGGTATTTTGTTATCCTGCTGAATAATGGATGAACCACAGGAGAGAGAGAGAGTCCCCTGGTGATTGAACAGTATTGGAGCCCTTGTTTTCACTGATGCTTTTTCTTTGCTCAGGAGTTTTCTCAAGTCTTGGCCTCTGAACCAAGACTGCACTGTTTGATCTGAAACAAAGGATTTGGCCTGAAAAAGAAGTTTCTGTGTCTTCCTCAATGTACCATAATAATTAGGGTTTTTCATCCCACAAATGTCTCAAACACCGTCAGTTTTATTAGTAGATTTGTATTATTGTTTGATGGTACCACCATTTCTTGATGTTTTTTCTCTCTCCTTAGTTCCCATAATAACGAATGGCACAATTAGCTAAATTTGAACTCGCAGAAACAAAGCACTTCACTTGGGTATTGAATGGTCAAATAAAAAGAACGTTTAGATTTTGGTGTAAAAAAGCTAAATGTTAGCATCGCATAAACATTTTTCAAACTAATTTTTCACTTTCATTGTAAACATCTAACCAAGCGTAAATGTACAACATGTAAGATATGACCAGAATTTTTGTTGAAAACATTTTAAAAATTACAATAAATTCAATTAAACTTCAATTAAACTCAATTTAACTTAATTAAATAAATTTAAATTAAATGTGAAGAAGTAACAGTTTTCAATTCATGTCAAAGACGTCTACATATTGTGTTGCCGAGATATCTATTTAAATTAGCATGCTAACCAGCTAGTCAAGGCCCGTTGAGTCTTGGATTATCACTTGTGCCTTGAGAGGTGATAGTCCGATAGCTCAGGCCTCCCCCTTGTACTTTTAGCTGGGAGATGTGTGCGAGAGACGAGTTGGGTACGTTACACAAGCTTTTTTAGTTTTTTTTGTCTAATAAACAAAATAAACTCAGAAAATGTGGAAATACTGTATGCTAACACCTGTATGCTAACTGAGAAAATACAACTTACATCTTCGGAATTCACGTTTCTCTCGTTCAACGAACTAATTGGTTAACTCATTGTGAAACACATTTCATTCAAACTTAACAGAAACCAAGTAAAACTCACCAAAAGCGTCTTGGTTAGTCTTTCCAGAGCCGGCAGCAGAAACAGTGGACAGGCATTTAATATTCTTGGGGGGGCCTAATTATGACATCCAATAAATTGTTCTATAGGACAACCAACTATTGCTACAGCAGTTTCACAACAATTCCAATATCTTAAGTACAAGCCTATTGCCCAATCATATTTCGGCTACTAAAGATATGTCATTACAGTTAAAGCCTTGGGCAGCATTGTTCTATGAACACAGCATGCTATAAGCCAACTTCCTAATACCAGCCTAATTGTCACAAATCTCAAGTTAAAATTTAAATCAACCATGCATAATCAACTATGACACACATATTGCATATCAGTGTCAAATAATTTACACCACCGTGGGTGCAACGTAAATAGAGTAATAACTGGCCTACTCACGTTCTTAATACAGTTGAAGTCAATGTTTTTGGGAGTGGAATCGCCTCGTGAATGAATGATTCTCCATTCGTTTCTGAATCACCTGGTAAGGTCCTTCTCGAAGGCAAGTTGGATGAGATGGGCTTTCCGTTTATGAAGCATGCTCCGCCGGTGTTCAGAATAAATGTTGCTCAGTGTCCATTTTCCATCATCTGGAGGAAGTTCACTTTCACAGAGTTTGTTCTAAAGAAACTGAGGCCCACGATATACTCTGATTCAACCAGTTTAGTACCTGTTAGCTCCAGCAGAGGTTTTACCTAAACTGTATCCATAAAGTTCTCTCTGTCAGGCTCCGGGTCCAAGGCAGCAAGGACACCAACGAGATGGCTGTTAAGCTCACCAAAACTCACGCACAACTCTCCATGCACTGCATCAACAACACTATAAAACAACCTCTCCAGTTCAGATTTTTCATTTGTTTTGTTTTGTCCAACACTTTCCTCCACTACAAAATCCCTGTGTTATCATTGCTGCCTCTTTGCCTTTTCCCTGCCTGTAGGTTGCCACATGTAACCCTCTGTGACGTTTAGGTAGGTGATAGGCACGGAGGCTAGGCACGCTAGTGTGGGTTCCTTCACAGATTGTAGTGTTAACGGCACTGGGGCACAATTTGGTAGTGACACGATTTGCAGTGACCGTTTGCAGTGACTATCGATTGCAGTGGGCACATGCGGTGGGTAAGTTGGTGCACTCCTGGAGCGCACCCTTAAGTAGATTGCCCCCTCCACAGCTGGCCCTGGCCTTCTCTGTCTTTTTGTTTGGTAAAATAATATTCAATAACTGGGAGTGTCCTTTGTTAAAAATAAAATAACTTGTTTGCCAATTTTGTAATAAACCTTTATATTCATCATAATTTGATTGTTATTTACATTATTGACCATCCTCTTTTTTCCAGGCACCTCCAGTTACCAATTATCAATAAAAGAGTTATTCTTTTGGAGCCACGTCTGGATTACTTCAATGAACCTGTGTAGTCTTTGTTTAAAGGGTTAGTCAAAGCAGAAATAGAGCATTTCCTGGGGTGGAAGTCCCCAGGTGGCGTTGTCGGATCGTTAGATTCTGGTGGTGATTCATCTTAGCGCCACCACCAGCCTTGCCACAGCAAGATTATAACTTTACACTTAAATACACATCAAAACATACATGAATACATGTTAAAAAAAAACCAATTTATTAAATGCAAATTCTTGGGTGGAGGGGGGAACACCAGGGCTGACAGACACTTAGTGTCACCATGGTAATCTTTCCTAACCACCTTTCCTTGACCTCGATGGAAACGTCATGTGATCAAGGAAAGACGTGAAGGAGAATTCATAAGGACTTAGGAAAAGAGGACCGCGGGTCTAAGAGAATCCCACTGCTCTTTTCCAAGTGACGTAATTATGTGACAGCCGTGATGAAACTACAATGTTCTGAAGATGGACTACAAAAAGTGCATCTTTGACACTGCGCCCTGTTTTAATGCAGACCATCTAAAGGTGGACAACATGGTTGAATATATTAGTCCAGGCCGACTTCATAATCAAGATAGCAAAAAGCGCAGGCCTATAGGCTACCAGTCACCAAATAATGGAAAGGGTTGTCACATTGAGAATGCTTGCTCACACTCACCCTCCTGCGCACCCAAATTTATCAACATGAATGACAATTATTGTGTATATACAGTGTTTCCCATAGGATGACAAAGTAACTGGAAAATAAATAAATCAATGTGTGGGAGACACTGAAATAATAAATTATATTTAATGTAGAGGTCATCCAGCTTAATTAATGCCTTTATTAATGCAAGGGTGTCAGCATCTGTGACTGAAGTAAAATTAGTTAATTTTATTGCTGAAGGCTGGAAATACATGCACGCTTGCACGCTGCAACATTATCTTCACTTTGATCACTTACAAGACTAGTAACACAGCTCGCATGGGTCTCAGTTATTGACAGTTCAAGACATAGACTATGCATATTAGCAAGTTATGGCATAAGAGAGAAAAGGCTTGATAGCCAATGGTAACTCATCAACATCCTTTATCCGTCATGGTCAGTGATTTCTTTTTTTTATTGTAGAAAATTCTAACACAACACTTTAGGCCTGAAGCTCATTTCAACAATCCAAAACAAAATGGTGTTGAAACAGAATTAGATTACAGCAAAGCCTAAAGAAATTTAACCAAAAGAAAGGAAATTGTCAGTCTTATTAAAGTATCATAATAACCCTGTGTTACTAGGATTTTGCTTAATTTGGTCAATGGATTTTATGGTTTGAGTTTGACAACGTGCGTAGCTTTAAATGTTGCTGCAGCAAGGAATTGTGGGACAGTATTCTCTCCTTTCGTAGAGGATGGTCCGGTGTACCCTATGCTAAAGGAGATATGAAAGGAAGCCTTGAGGCTCCTTTCCTTAGCTTTTAGAGAATTCGACCAGCTCTTATCATGGCTGCCACTGAAATACTTCCGGTTCACATCACTGTTAGGAACCTTCCTAAGCGAAAAAGACTTTTCGGACGCGGCCTGGTCTCTGTTATGTGCATGCCACAGACTGTCTGGGCACTGCACTTCTGCGAGTTCCGCCTTTTGCGTTCCGTCAACATTACGTTCTCAATTAACATTTAAATAATTGTTGTTTTTGACAGTTAATTGATTCAGAATCTTCCATGTCCACATCTAAGAATCGTTTTTTTCTCCCGCCCCTAGGTACTACTCATCTGAACAGAACTAACATCGGTGTGGTGAAGGCACACAGATAAGCTGCTTACATTTGGTGTGGAAGACCCGGGTTCAATTCCCCCTGTGAGACACCATTGTGTCCCTGAGCAAGACACTTAACCCCTAGTTGCTCCAGAGGCGTGCGACCTCTGACCTCTATAGCAATTGTAACATAGCTGTTTCATTAGTGTATGCCACTCAGCTCAAATGTTCTCAGGGCCCACAGCCCATGTGTGTATATTATGTCCATGCAATAATAGCAATAGCAGGTCATGTATATTTTTCATTATAGTTAATGTGAAATAAAATGACAACAGATAGATACT